ACTTCTAATTTTGCCCTAATTTGGCAAAGGTTAACCCCTTACAATTTTTGATTTTTCATACGAATCTGATTTAGCCCTATTTTGCTAAAAATGCAAGGTTAACACCTTTCAATCCGCAATTGTTTTCATAAACACCTGATTTTGCCCTAATTTGGCAAAGGTTAACCCCTTACAATTTGAAATTTTTCAGAAAGATCTCATTTTGCCAAATTTTGCTAAAAATGCAAGGTTAACCCCTGGCCTTTCAATCTGCAATTTTCTAGAAACTTCTGATTTTGCCCTAATTTGGCAAAGGTTAACCCCTTGCAATTTTTGATTTTTCATACAAATCTGATTTAGCCCAATTTTGCTAAAGATGCTAGGTTAACCCATTACAATCTGAATTTTTTTCATAAAACCTGATTTTTTCCTATTTTGCAAAAAAAATGCAAGGTTAACCCCTAACAATTCGAAAAGCAAGGTTAACCCCTTACAATTTGAAATTTTTCAGAAAGATCCCATTTTGCCCAATTTTGCTAAAAATGCAAGGTTCACCCCTTACAATGCGAGATTTTTCATAAAAATCTGATATTGCCCAGTTTTGCTAAAAATGCCAAGTTAACCCCATACAATTCTGCAATTTTCCAGAAACATCTGATATTTTACCACTTTTGTTTAAAAAAATGCAGGGTTAACCCCTTACAATTTGAAATCCAACTTTGCCAAATTTCACTAAAAAAGCAAACTTAACCCCTTTCAATCTGAAATTTTCCAGAAACATCTGATTTTGCCCTAATTTGGCAAGGTTAACCCCTTCAATTTTTGTTTTTTTCATACAAATCTGACTTTGCCCAATTTTGTTAAAAATGCAAAGTTAACCCCTTACAATCTGAAATTTTCCATAAACACCTGATTTTGCCCTATTTTGCAAAAAAAATGTACTTTAAAAGCAAAGTTAACCTTTTACAATTTGAAATTTTTCAAAAAGATCTGATTTTGCCTAATTTTGCTAAATTATGCAAGGTTAACCCCTTACAATTTGAAATGTTTCATAAACATCTAACCCCGTACAATCTGCAATTTTCCAGAAACATCTGATTTTCCCAATTTTGCTAAAAATGTAAGGCTAACTCCTTGCAAACTGTTAAATCAATACATGAAGAGTCCCATTTGACTTTTTTAAAACAAATTATATTTCCAGTTTTAAGGGTAAAGGAATTTTCTCTTTTTTCTTTCTCATTTGTTGTTGCTTTATTGTGCAAATTTAACTCATTCGTATGGAATGCTCATAGTCAATCAAAGAATATTTCACACATAGGGGCCTAAATTATATTTTTTAAATTTAATAGAGACGCAATGATCGTGCTATCATGTACCATTCTATTACTATTGCGAATTACTGTATTGTTTGGAATGCTCACAATTAAAGACACGTTATTTGAAAGATGTATAAATAATATTTATTTTACAATGTACATCTTTATTCTTTCCCGGTATAATTTATGGCGTTTCTTACGTCAATTGGCAATTGCGTCATTATATAATGATAGTCAAATTGATCAAACGAAAGTCCGTTTTGATTATAGTCAATTATGAAAATTTCACTGATTTATGACATACACCTTTGTTTCAATTTTGATATTACCCGTAGACCTGCCGAGCAGCTGTAGATATCAAACTAAACCAAAGTATAAAAGATAGAGGGTAAAAAAACATCAAAAAGTTATGTGCTAGTCAAGCTTTCAGGGATCGGTCTGAGCCATAACAATGCCCCAGCCGATCCCTTAGTTCTCTTCCGGGGTCTCGGCGTCCCCGACCAATACACACTTCCTTCCCTATCCATCCATATAACCCCGGAGGGCCAGGCACCATGTAAAAGCAAAGAGCTAAGGGAGGAACAGGGCGGCCCCTAAGCCCTGATCCTCCGAGTGGACCACATGCCCTGAACCTGTACGAAGGCGCCAACCTGGAACTCGCGGACAGTACCAGCAGCAGTGCTTACCGATTAAGCTAAGGTACTGTTGGTACTTTACGACGGGAAATAAATTCTCTTATAGTAAATGATTGAACTCATACTTAAAAACCAAAAAGACACCAGCGGGATTCGAACCCGGGACCCTGCTAATCGTGGACGACGAATCGTAACCACTCGGCCATTTCGTTACCTTAGAATTTTCCTGAAACTGAGAAAAGTTGTCTTTATAGGTGAGCAAACGCGCCAGGAAGATTACTGGGTCCATTTGCTTTACCTTAATGGGTAAAATCAAGTCGATATAATGAGCCCAGTGTGTTTGGTTTGTTAGGAAGCTGCATAACACAGCCTAATGTGCAAAACAGTCGTGTGCTAGGCGGATCATTACGCAACAATGAACACCGCAATTGTGTATTTTCAAAAGGCAGACGCGTAGATTTCTACTCTTTGTATCTGGGCACATATAGATTCTCACCTCCCTCTACAGTCATTTCGACTTTCTTAAAAAGAAAAATAGAGACTGTCAGCGAATCTCCGGGAGTTGAAGTAAGGATCGTCCCCTCGATAGACCTCAGACTCAGTAAAGTTCAACATTGAGCTCCTTTTCAACAGCTGTTTTTGCGGAAACTTTACATCTGGATTTTTTAGAAGCATCTGATTTTGCCCAATTTTAGTAAAATATGCTCCAAATTTTGCTAAAAAAGCAAGGTTAACCCCTTACCATTTTAGATTTTTCATACAAATCTGATTTTGCCAAATTTGACTAAATATACAAGGTACACCTCTTACAATTTAAAATTTTTCGTAAACATTTCTTTTTGCCCAATTTTGCTAGAAATACAAGGTACCCTAACAATCTGCAATTTCCCAGAATCATCTGATTGTGTCCTATTTTGCTAAAAAAAAAATGCAAGGTTAACCCCTTACAATGTGATTTTTTTTCATGAACATCTAATTTTTCCAAATCTTATTCAAAAAGCAAGGTTAACCCCTTACAATCTGTAATTTTCCAGAAACATTTTATTTTTTCCCATTTTCGCTTTAAAAAAATGCGAGGTTAACCCCTTTCAATTACAAATTTGCAAAATTTCACTAAAAAAGCAAGGTTAATCCCTTACATCTGAAATTTTTCGGAAACATCTGATTTTGCCCAATTTAGCTAAAATATGCAATGTTCACCCCTTACAATTTGAAATGTTTCATAAACATCTAACCCCATACAATCTTCAATTTTCCAGAAACATCTGATTTTTCCCGATTTTGCTAAAAAAATGCAAGGTTAACCCCTTTAATTTGATTTTTTTCATAAACATCTAATTTTGCCCAATTTTACATCAGCTTATGCTAACAAATTATCAGGTAACTGGATCATTAAACGGGACAGGTGCACATCGGCCTAGGAGCTCAGACCATGTGTCATGCACTCCTCAATGTATAGATGATGCACATAACACTATGGGTAGTACAGGCACAGCTGGGGGTACTGCCCAAACAATGATGAACGCATTGCGTATGCTTAAAGAATTACCCACAATTCCGGTTTTTACCGTTTAGGTCTGGCTCTACTCTCTTTACGCGATCCCCTGACGTCTCATACACTGACTTTAGGCAAAATAGTCAGACTTTCGCTGTCTAGTAACCAGACTTTGACTCTTAACGAAACCTCGAATGAAAAGGGAAACATCAAATGCATATTGCAAAAGATCGAATGCAAACATACCGATGAAACATCAAATACAAATAGCTCGAAATGTCAAACATATATGTAAAACATTGCTCACATATTTGAGAAAATCGCAAATATATTGTAAAACAACACACACAATTGTATCGAAAAACATCGCACATTTAATGCAAAAAATCGAACATAATATTGAAAACATCGCACATATATATCGTCAAAAACATCGTACACATAAATTGAAAATCGCATATCATCATGTAAAACACCGCACACATATATTGAACATCGCACATATATTGTAAAACATCGCACAAATATATTAAACATCGCGCAAATAATGAAAAACATCGCACACTTATATTGAACATCGCACATAAATGTAAAAGATTAGCACATATTGAACATCCTACAGTACATATATATTGCAAAATATTGAATATTGCAACGTTTGACACGCCATATCCGCCGCCGTCTCCTGCAGTGCTGTAGTACGGCTCTGAAAGGGAGTATTAATTTTCGTAAGGCATTAAATCTCACCCTCTCGAACAAAGCTGATGAAACTCGCCCCAAACAATGATTTGTCGTGCCTTGTCGACATGATATGAACGTTTAATTCCATTGATAAACAACAGGGTTATTTTATTAAGAATCAAAAATAGGGCATAATTTTGACATATAGTACCAAAGTGTAAAAGTAAGGAGGCTCATCGGACATTTTCAAATATTTATATTTATTTACAAAGTTGGTGTATACATCGTTTTGGGGTGTGGAATCTTGAAAGACAGATTTTCAAATTGAGTTGATAATTTTCTAGCCTTACATTAGTTTATTGAGCTTTCCAATGAAACATCGCACTAAATAAATCGGCCTATGACAAGCAACCTATTGATTAATTTCAGCTTTTGAATTAAGAGCGGGACGCTCCTAATTTGTTCTGAATAGTGAGCGAAATTTCTGAACCGCAGCGCGCCATTTAAAAACATATTTTTAATCTGAAAAAAGGCCTTGCAAAAGCAAGCGAGAAATTTTAGAACGTACGCCCCCCCCCCCCCCCCCCCCCTTAATCTACACTCCCGGTCGTCGGAGACTTTCCATCCATGTTTCCATCCGTTATTTCACCTCACTTTTATCGCACTTTTGACACAGTGTAACTTTTTAACAGCCAGTATGAAACTATTCAGTCAACATGTGGCTTTTTTCTAGTTCTTTTACCCTAGAAAACTAATTTTATGGTCAATGAATCAATGTCGCATAAATTTGGGACCTATTGGATAATCCCATTTTGACATGATCCGCACAGGAAAATAATGAAAGGACTGGGAACCACTCTAACCAAAGCAAACACGTGCATCTAGCAGCACATCCCTCCGTCCGGGGTTGTCACAACAACGGTAGTCCACCCTGGCCGGCCGGCCCGCGATGTCATCGTTGTACCTGCCTGCTCAAACTCACAGATCGTCATCATCAACGTTAGACCCGAAGTTGTCATTGAAAGGTGCTGGTAGTTAAGTAGCAGTATCATCCAAATATGCCCGACGAAAAGGAGAATGCAGACATTAGATTTAGGGATCGAGTGTTGGGAGATCTGGCGGTATTTAAGAACAAGTTGACGGAGATTGAGGCTAACGGGAGAACCTCGAGCACGGAAGTTTGGCATGAACCTCGGCCGGACAAACGGAAGGTAAGCAGGCCCTCCTATTAAAGTGGATTCCACGGTACTGCTGTATGGACTGTATTATTGATCGCCTGTTGGTTGATGGCAGAACAGGAAATAAAGGCTTTTGTCATTAGCCTTGGGTCAGGAAACTCCATTCGCACAATTTTAGGTGTGTGCTGTCACTGCTGTGGACTAGTTTTGATTGAAATAAATGTTATTGAAGTTGAATTGAATTGATATTAAAACTAAAACCATGCTTACATGTATTACGCACAGTCATGACAGTGTAGTAAATATCGCAGAACATTGACAGTACTCTAGTCTCTACTGTTCATTTGTTTGAAATGATTCCAAGATGTGGCAGAGAATCTGATGATGTGTTCTTTCCATTTGTCATCTAGGGCTGTAACAAATATAGCGAAAAGTTAATTATTTAATCATCCGAATATCCGAATAACATTTTTCCAATTGAAATATTTGAAAAACATGTGTCTCAGGGAGATGATGAAATATGTCCTAGTTAGTCCGAGTAACTAGTATAGGACTCTACGAATCACCTTTTTTAACATTTGGACCTGGTCGGGCAACTATCGCACCCTCATGCACTTGTAGGCCTATACGAAATCCTAGTGGGTCTACGAGAACCCCTACACCAAATAAGATATTAAATTACCATTTCTCATCGAGCGAACGCGTGGCCTAGTGGATAGCATGCCCTCCTCATGAGCAATGCTAATTGAGTCCCAGCATGGCCAATGTTTTTGATATTTATATTTTGTGTCCCAAAAAATAAGAATTAATTATCTTCTTTTATTGTTTTAAATCAAAAATTTTAATTGCAGAGTATTAAATTTCGTCTTCTTTTTCTGATTCGTGGCTCTGGAGGATATTTTCTAAAGGGAAATAAAATCCGAAATTATAACGGGTCTGATTCCCATCTCCTTAACACAAAGTCACAGAGACAATTTTAGCGCGGATCAGACAAAGATTTGTCACGCGAAAAATGTCTAAGTCCTCCCAAAAACAGTCACTGCGCATATTCAGTGCCGTTCCAGTACCATACTAAAAACAATCAGGGACCGGTTCACAGTCAAATATCCACTGCCTAAATTAAGTGTATGAAACACAAAATAATGTCAGCTAAACTTTAATGTGAATTCAATGCTATTTTCTCTCCAGATTTATGCACGAATCCGATGCAATGTTATCTCCGTGGGTGAAATTGACACAGTTAAACAGCAGTTTGATGCAGAGATATTCCTGGGAGTGAAATACAAAGAACCACTTTTAAAGGGGCTCACCAGGGAGGTATGTTGGCTAAAACGTTGGTTTGTTGTTAGTAGGCCTATGACTTTTCACTCGTTTTTTTTTTTCACTTTGAAACCAGAAGAAACAAAGTAACATTCAAAATGAATTATGTCTGTGCAATGTCTCAACATCTATTGCAAGTTACAATTAAACACATTTCAAACTGCAGGTTACACATTTATCCCAACCTCCCCCCCCCCCCCTCCAAAACACAAAATTGTTGTTGGCTAGCATCATGATTCTGCATTATCCATTTTTGTGAATGAAATTTTTGCAGATGTGTTTCCACTTAACAGCAGTGACTATTAGAATATTGCTTAGTATACAAATTACTTAGTAGGCACAGCTCAAAGGGTTCATGTGATACATTTTTCTTATGAACACATTATGAACACCATTGAGGGGGTGCTTGTTCATGAAGTCTATAGAGCCCAACAAAATTGAAGTACATGTATGTAATTGATTCAGGGCATGCGTAAAAGAGGTGTCAAAGTGAAACTTAATGGGTCAAGAGCCCATAATGATACACAGTGAAAAAACCCTTTGTATTTCAGGACGTGGACTGGGAGAAGATGTGGTCCCCCAGGATCGTCTTTGCCAATGCCGAGGAAATACAGCTGATGGAATGCAAGCACCGAATACTGGAGCATTCGGATGAGGTTGATGGGATACCCGATGCGTATGTGACGTACCGCATGAGGGCGACCTTCAAGACTCTTATGAACCTCGTTGACTTCCCATCAGATCTTCAGGTAGGAACATTATTTCTCGTCTTGGTAAAGGCAGAGAGTTGGCCAGTTGTTGAAGGCACTCTTTAAACATTGTTTTACAATTCCTCAAGAAATATTAACTCAAAACTTAAGCATGAGAGTTTTAAATGCTTAAAATCATTCTGTATTTCTCATCTTTTTCCCAGAGTTTAACAATCAAGCTCATGTCGGACTGGCCGGAGAGCGATTTTGAATTTGTCAAGGACATGCACATCAAAGACTCTATTCGGCTTGACATGTTCTCAGGTTAGTGTTGTGCAAAGCCCGACCCGAAACCGACCCTACCCGACCCGAAACCAACTTCAGGTCGGGTCGGGTCGGGTAGGTTTGCCCCATCATCTCAGTTGGGTCGGGTTTGTGATTTTCGGGTCGGATTGGGTCGGTTAAGCCATGTTGGAAAACCAGAAATGTACCGGGAAAAAAACGAAACAGTTCGGAAATTCACGGTGCAATATTTATTGCAGAGTCACTGTGCCCGGTAGGACGCATGGTCTATAACATGTGGGCCCACCGCCAGTAGGTCACGTTGTGAGTGCCGTACAGTATGATTCAGTTACTGAGAGAGGATGATTTTCACACGACGTGGGTAACTTGTTCAGGCACAAAAAGGGGACTTAGTTGCCCAAGCTAGATATTCCGGGGGGTTTCCGGGTCATTTCAGGTAAGTTTTCCTTGAATTTTTGTCGGGTCGGGTCGGTTTAATGGAGTTAAGATCGATTTCGCTTCGGATTTGGTTTATATCTATAATAATTCGGGTCGGTTTGGCCTGGTCAACCGGACCCGATGTACAACACTATCTCAGGTTTCTACTTAGTTGCCTCTCTTGTGATCTCACATGATCATATATCAACTTACTCCAAAAATACCTTTCTAAAAACAACAAAAAGGATTGTGGTTGGATCCCCGTAACAATGTGTGACTTTACCCGATCATGAACCTTAGTGGTTAAAGATTAGCTAGTTCAAATAAAAAAGGAAATTTGCCAAACGTTAACACTTTGATGGCACAGTGCTATGTAATCGCAAATTTGGCTTTTTTTTTCTCCAAAGGTTGCCATGAATGGGAGTTATGTCCTGTCGTAACGGCCTCCCCGATAAAAGGAACGAAGCTTCAAACTGGATCCCATCGAGTCTACCCCAAGTATCATCTCACCATGTATGCCAAAAGGAAAAGCATGTATTACTTCTGGAATGTTGCTCTAGTATTGGTAAGAAAGTTGCATTCGGATTGTTCTGACCCTCAACAAATAATTTGCAATAAAGGTGTAATGATTCTTTGATGTAACAATAATTGCTATACGAGAATGCCACGGTACAGCATCATGATATGAAAATGTTTAAAGTGTCCGTGCGATGAATTTTTTTTAGGAACACATTGTGTGCAACTTTCTACTCCTCTTAATTGTATGAAAACTATTTGACATCCCTTTTTGGGTAATTTTATTGAAAAGTGCACTTCTTTAAACATTTGAAATGTTCCATGCTTTTCCAGACAATTGAGGGCACTGTTGCTGTGATGTCATTTCAGGAAGATACTGTTCGGTTAGGGGTTTTCTGTTCAAATTGTGAACCCAAAATTTGCTCATTGAAAACATTTGTGAGAAATGTTTGCTCATTGGCTTACTGCCATGTACTGACACAACAACGAATCACCAAAGAAAAGATAATTTATGACAGCAAAATATCAAAAATTCTAGTAACTTTTTGTGCTGAAATAGCTGTAACATTGTGGTTTCTGCCTGGAATGACATCACAGTTTTGCTCATAAATATGGAATTTCGCATCAGCATAAAACCAAAAAGACACCAAAATACCCTTAAAAACGGCAAAACGAAAATTAAAAATAAGGATAAATGGGACACAAAAGTGCATTTTCAAGAATAGCATTAAAAAAATTACATTGCACGGACCTTTTAATGTGATTCTTGGCTATGCATACACTTACAAAAAACTATTTCAGGCACAGAAAGTTTGAATACGAGGACAATTTGAAGAAAAACTTAACTAGTTGAAACAGTTAACCCTAAAAATGAAAGTTTATTTGAAAGTTGAATAAACATTGACAAACACTAGAGACACTATTTCAGGCACCAAAAGTATATGTTGACAACATATCTTTGTATAAAGAATAAAGAATAAAAAATATTTCTTTTTTTGTTCTCCGTCTTTGTTTGTCAGATGTTGATTGTTTGTCTGTCCTTTGCATCCTTCGCCGTGAATGCCGACCAGCCAGAGGACAGACTGAGCGTGACGTTAACCTTGCTTCTCACTGCCGTAGCTTTCAAGTACGTCGCTTCTCAAGCCTTGCCGCCGATCTCGTACCTCACACTCCTGGTGAGTTCAAGCCGCTTCTTTCTTGTCATTCATTGGCATTGGTGCCTTTTTCAATTTCATTGTAGGTCCTTGCTTTTGGCAACATCCTTGTAGTACTTATACCAATGTTGTAGTCCAGTCCATTAAGGTTCCGTCAGTGTTCAATAGCAATGGTTGCATTGTTCTAGAGCGCCCTTGCACAAACTTTCTCACACTAACGTCTTGGGAAATTTGCAAGTAGCGTGTCAATTTTATGTAACTTAGACTGTTGGTGTAAATATTTATATCTTCACACAAAACAGCGGCTTCCAGTTGGATACCAGTAGTCACGCACTTGTGCGGGGGTACATCATGCTCGTTAGATATGCACGATCCACTACTGACTTCTAGCGTCTTGGGCCAAGACTAGTCCATCACAAGTTGTCAAGTCACAAGACTATTCAACTGAAATGTGACAAAGTTTGTGTTTATCCCGTTACTTTTGACTTGACTTGTGAAAGGACTTGTGATATACTTCAGACAGAGACAGACTGCAACACTGACTCATACTTGTTGGTTACTCTAAGAGTGTTTTAATAAAGGTTAAGGTCATTAAGATTGGCCAAAAGCACACGCTATTTGACATGAGGAGACAAGTTCTAAATCCTTCACAAGGTCTCCTAGGTTTTAGAGGATTTCGCAGAATGGAGGAAGTACAGCCTAGCCATTATTACTAATACTTGCGGCTTGATGCCCTTGAAAGTGAGAGTGCAAATAGGTGCCATGGGTATACTGAACAGTAGAGATTTGAGAGACTTACAAATGTATACTTGAAGGTTTCTAGCAAACTTGGCCAGGGAGTTAGGATTAAAGGGGCAGTGGGCATGCAGTTTCAGAGTTGCACTTGTATCATTATCCTCTTTAACAAATGGCAGACGCAATACAAGGGTGCTATAGTGGAATCCGGTGACCAGAATTAGAAGCTTTTACTGCGGTGGTGTCACGCTCACCCGCATGCTGCACGCGTTCTTAAAGATGAGGCGCACACGTATTTTGGTATTCCTATTGGTCGAAGGAGCCTGGAGTGCACGCGTACTATCTGAGCACGACTCACGCGAGCCTTGCGCCACCGCCAGATATGTCTATATGGAAAAATACAAAAGTGTGTACCCACTCCAAAAAAATGCCCTCCTATTCTATACACCATATCTCAAAAAGGCTTGAGAATCAACCAGTCTTTGTTTTCTGTTCTCTCTTTCCATGCAGGACAAGTATGTGATATTTTGCCTGGTGTTCCAGTGTTTAGGAGTGTGCCAGAATGCGGTGGTGTCAGCCTTTACTACACCAGAGAGTAGAGCGCTGTTTGATGCCATCTCAGCCTATGTCCTGGTCGGCCTTCTGGTCATAGTCCACGCGGTTGCCGTAATCTACCTCCTCATTGTGGTAGGTGTCTTTGTTTGCCTCTAATCTTTATCTTTTGTGTTTTGAGCAAGAGTTGGTTGTAGAATTTGTGGGAAAAACAAGCTAGAAGAGAAAGTTACGAACAAAGCGTGACCTCATTCAAAAGTCAAATTCAGTGCTGGAATTAGTGTTGTGCAAACCCGACCTGAAACCGAAACCTACTCGACCCGAAACTGACTTGGGGTCAGGTCGGTTTGTCCATCATTTCAGTCGGGTTGGTTTCGGTATTGCGTTTTCAATTTTCGGGTCTGGGGGAGTCAGTTAAGCCATTTTGGAAAAACCCGAAATAAACCAAAAAAACCCTGAAACAGTTCAGAAATTCATGCGGTGCAAATTTATTGCAGAGTCAGTGTGCCCGGTACGACCAAACGTGGTTTGCGGTCTATCACGCACGGTCTATAACATGCAGGCCCACCAGTAGGTCACGTTGTGAGTACCGTACGGTATGATTCAGTTACTGAGAGACGACAATTTTCACGTGATGCAGGTTAATTCAGGCACAAAAAGCGAACAGAGTTGCCCAAGCCAGATATTTCAAGGTTCATTAGGTCGGTTCGGTCTCGGGTCAGTTCGGGTCGGTTTTCATTGAATTTGGTTTTAGGGAGTTCAGATTGGTTCCTGTTCCGATTTGGTTTATATCTGTAATGTTTTGGGTCAGTTTGGCCTGGTCCACCCGACCCAATGCCCAACATTAGCTGGAACCTGAGAAAGTGTTAAAGCAGCGATCAAGATATACCGGTATACATTTGACCCAAGATAACTCATTTAAAAAAATATTTTATCAACAGAAGAGAAGATCCAATCATGTTCTACACCAGGCAGTCAAGGACTATGAGGTAAATAAAGAACGCCTTGTTATTACAGTTTTACTTACCAAGCTTTGCTTAAGAGTTATGGATAAAAATGTGGTGGATACTCTTGTAGATTTACGGAGGTGTCCTTTTTGTGACTGGGTCAAGGGAAGCGTCAGTCTGAAAATCAGACATTCACGTCAGCAGAGCCACGGTTGAATGTCTGATATATCTTAGCATGCAAATTTTATGCGACCCAACGCCAGCCAATCAGAGTCGAGTTTAGAAACTGTGACGACGATTCGATCAGATGTGTGGACTAAGCTGTTGATTGGCCAATTTGGATTCCATGTTTTTGAAATACAACAAAGGGTTACCAGAGACTCGATATAGAAGGCGCCTGTTGAATGGTGAAAATCTCGAGGTCAAGACGCAGTCTTGTTTCGCATAATTAATCGCCGAATCTGCTCGCAAATCATAGACCCTTGCTGTGCAAAGGGATATTCCATTGACGAGGAAAGCGTTGTCAACAGGCTAAAATGGAAATATTCACAGCTTATCTAATAGAGTTGAATTCGGCATCTAATCACAACCTCTTGGGGTTATTTCACGTAAAGATCAATGCACTGTTTCACAAGAAAATTTCTCCTAGCACATGTAGAAGGTTTTGTCAAAAATCAAATTCTTCTCAGAGTGTGTTGCAGAAATTCTCAAGGAATGTTGGACACTAAAATACATGTCTTTTGTAATCCTTTTTGGGGCAAACAAAAAATCATCTCAGACATTTCAAGTTGACTTACATCATGTGAACAAGTCTTCCACATTAAATTCTCTCAAATTCATGTGTTTGTCTGGAAATGTTTGTTTGAAAGGAACTGAATGCAAGAATCAACAAAACTTGGGAAGCACGTAAAGTACAGAAACAAAAAGGTGAGAGGAAACAGAGAGGAGAAGGAGAGAGCAAGAGAGAGAAGAGACTGAAGAGGAACAAGGTGGATGCAACGGAGGAATATCAGGAGTTACCCGACAAGGCAAGCACAGTCAGCTCAAGCTGAGGTGAGGAGCAAAGATTTGGAATTGCCAAGAACAGCTGTGTGGTTGCGAACGCCAAAGCGTTCCGGTTGTTAAGCAAAGCTAATCCAATTACGTACTTAGACGCTGTAACAGAGCAGTGAAATTTGTGAACCCCAAAAAACATGGCCATTTGAACGTTGTGTTCTCAGAAAACATGCTCAGTATGATTGAAACGTTAAATTATAATGAAAGAAGAAATTCTAAACTTCATGTCAGTGAAAGATCATTACAAGGGAAATAAACCCTGAAAGTTGCAAGAAGATATGGTCAAGATTCCAACGGGAGAAACTTGTGTTCAAAGATTTTGTCCGCCAATGTGAACATATTAATGTGTAACCTTTAGAAATCGCCCCTCGCAACCACATGGCCGAGAAAGGCCAGTTTGTGCTGAATGCAAATGCAGAGACATGTCGAACCCAATTTTATTAGGAGTGACTCAGTTCAACACAAATAGATTTTGATTTCAGACAGATGATCTTTAGGTATTAACTTTCCCAAGACACTGATGAAGTCACTCGGAACAACTTTAGCAGTTGATCTTTCGATGGCATGTGCTTGTAGTCGCTCCTAGCTGTTTCAAATGTCAAATTTAAAGGTAATATACAACGTTTGCAAACATCAAAAAACCAACTGTCAAATAAGTAAAAATACCTTACTTGACTGTAAGTGAATAATAGTCCCAAGCATCCTGTGAAATCATGGCACCTGGTGTGCTGCCATTTTCAAGAAGAGTGCAAATTTTGTATCAATTTCCAACGATGGTCGGCGGACCATCGTTGGAAAAACAGATTTTTTTTTTTAAATACTGCCCCAATTTACCAAATTTAGTTAGTCCACATTTTGTTTGCAGTCGGTTACACATCCATGAATGGATGCAAGCCAGCTAGTCTGGTTTCCTGACCTGACAATTCACCCATCGTTTATATATTGCTCTGTTTTCGACTGCAGTAGGGACAGGGAACCAGACAACAACAACAACAGCATTTTGTTAAGTGTTTTTCCAGCATCTATGAACACAAAACTTATGCACCAGTCAGTGTAACTGTATTTTCTATAAAATACTATTCCCCAAATCCATTCCTTTCTGAAAATTACAGCAAAAGTAATTCATATCTTAGGAGTATGGTTCAGTGCAGTTCTTGATCACTTGTTTGAAATTGGTTTTGTATAGCACAAAGTAACTTCAGAAAGAAGTCAGCAGTGCACAAAGCATTCTGTGACAGCACTTATGTACCTTTTCACATTTGCACAGAGTACGAACTGACCCCACTAGTTAAACTTCATATGCATAAGTGCAATATTAGAATTTTGTTTTAATGCATTGAGACTTTCAAAAATTAATTATGCAGAGTCTCATAGGTGTTTTTGCTAAATGTTGGATTTTTATTTTTTATTTTTTTTGGCTGGCACCATAATTTGTATGATGTTTTTCTGTCATTTTCTGAACTAATATCTTTTTGTCAAAGCTAAATATGTATCGAAGCTTTTATTTAAAGCTTGATTTTTAGAAAGCCCAATCTCTTTTTTTGGGGAATAAACTGGCTCTGAAATAAGCTGGATTGGTTGGAAACCCAACCAATCTCAGTGGAGAAAAATTCTTCATAACCAACGCTGGAGTCAGCTTCTTGTGATGGTGGCACGAAAAAGGTATCCGCAGGTAACCCAATCTTAGATGGATAGGATAGGATGCGTTTCTTTAGTTTGTCTGCATTATAAAAATACACATAATCTTGTTTCATCGACAATGGAAAACACTAAAAATTCACATAAAAACAATTACATTATATTGTAAACCGTAGTAACACCAATGAAATAGGATAGTTGCCAAGCTGCAGCCACATAATTCGGACATGGCCGATGTTTTTTTCTTGGCCAGCCACGCTTTCTTTTTCCTGCTTTGACTTTGTTGACAGAGTAAAACTAACCTTCCCCAACATGCATGCTTGCCTCACACCCGCATGTACATGTACAAGCATGATCACTTCCTTCTATGTTTTTTTAATGTCATCACTTAACTTCTTTCATCATAGCAGTTACCTTCTTCAAAACTGCAGAGGCTTGCTCTGAAATTACGGGTTATTACTCTTCTTTGGAGGATTAGTATTTTTTTTAAAGCTTTTGGATACATTTTGTTGTTTAATTTTTGGTTTGCCAGTCAGTCTCATTACAAATCTTACAGCGATTTAATTTTGGGGCCATGACATTTTCAGATTTTCTAAGGTTTGAGAATTTGGAAAGCACTCGGAAAAAAAAAAGTATCCCTGAAAACCTTTTTTAAAATTTAAATTCAGGAGCAAGATACATTTTTCACCCTGTTTTCCAAATATCTAAACGCATACTCTCCTGGAAAGAAATGCATCAATTTATCCAACTTGTTTGATATTGAATATTTTAGAGAGACTGGTCTTCAGTGTATATGCAATGATGTGAATTGTCCCCACGGACAGATTGTACAGTTTAGGACTCCAAACAGTTTACTTTTGTTGAGGCTAATAAACACTTCATGTTTTCATCATGAAATTGTCATTTTAATTGTTAACAATTAACAAGTATGCATTAACATGTCATGTGTACATCCAAATAATAGAGTCCTGTAGAATTGGTGCCCATATCTATGTGTGTGTTGTCGCAATTTTTAAATTTGATATTCGTCTTTCCACATGAACATAGGTGTATTTTAAGTGCCTTTTAGACATATGTACATGGAACCAAATATTTTGTTGGTAAATTTTATGACTTATATTGAAAACGTATATTTTTGTGAAGTATATAATGTGCACAAGTATGTTTGTAGGTAGGACCAGTTTGTGTAAAAAAAATATGACTGAATATCATAGCTGTTTGTACACCATGTTAAAAACAGAAATTATCGTTTTCTTAACATTTGCAACAATTGTTAATATCAGGGTATTTATGACCAAAAATGCAATATTTTCTCACTAAATGTAAGATAATAAAGAAATAGCAAGAAATGTCAAAAGAATTGTCCTGAAGTCTTTGCCGTTTCTTTCAGTAAAAGTTTTAGTAAGTGTAGGGCCAAATACGGCACTTCTGAGCCTATTTAAAAAAAAATGTCTAAAGGAGGCAATATACCCTTAAATATGGTGGCTGTAAAAGAAAAGGTCCGGCCAAATTTTCTCCAAAAATATATAGATGAAATCTGTAAGCGTGCACAAGCATTCACAAGTTGAAGCAATAAAAAATGAGTGTAATTATTCTCCTTTGAAAGTGTTTTTTTTTTAAATTGCTTAACAGTGCCATGAAAATAAGCCTAGTTAAAATTCCAACTAAATAGGAAATACAAAGTGCAGTTTTTTTTTCACACACGCAAAAAAAATGATATTTTTCCCAATGTTCAGAGCGTATACATTCAGTCAGAAAAATGTTGATACCTGTTGACTGCAGAATTGTTTCAATTGTACCATATTCTACAATCACAAAATGTAACCCGACACAACAAAATTATTCAGAAGAGGCCGGAGCAGCTTTTGAGAAATTTGCCTGTTTGTTTTAGAAGGGCTAATTTTGAGAAAGGGGCCTTTTTTTTTTACAAACCTCTCAATGTAAATCATAACTGATAGTCAACATTTTCACCCCCTGAAAATGTTGAGATGTCAAAAGTTGTGGAATATCAAAGTAAAGAGCGAAGCAGGATCGTATCACTGCACATGAAAACTTAGTAAATATAGTTTAGATTAGTTTCTAAGCTTAGTTATGTGTCCTCAAGATGTTGGATCCTGTCACAAACAGAATAAGTGTCACTCAAGATACATTTCCAATGCCTCAAAAGAGTCAACATGAAATTGTTCTCAATTTTTTTTTTAAATACTCATCTATGTTATTTTTACATAACTAGTACAAGATGGTTTATATTTTTTTCATATAAAATTTGTTTGATGGTTTGTTGTATGAGCTCGCTTCTATGTAATAATATGCTGTTTGTGTCTGACTCATCTTGTCTCAACCTTCATTGAACCACCTGACTCAAAGAGGAAGTTGTTCATTAATATCGGTCCATTGCTTTCCCTCCTATACAAGAGTCTAAAATGGTTCACAACCTCACTGATTGCATCAAGTGTGGGTGTTGAACAATAGTTTCTAAAAAAATATCAGGAGAGGTTAACAATTACCTGATTGTTAATTGGGGCATATGCAAAACAAGGGCACAAGATACACAAGTTTGAAATGTTTGCAAACAAATCATCCCTTCGTTGCTTTATTCTAGGCATTAAACATCCATGACAAAAAAAAGACAATTTCGTGATTTCCAAATTGGGCACAACTTGCAAATGGTATTCTCCCCTTTTGTTCTTGATTTAAATTTTATTTGAATTTCATCAAATCTCAGCCGGTTTTAAGCTTAACGTAAACATAGAAGGGAGTGGGGGGGGGGATAGTTTAAATTTAAAACTGACTGCCATAGCTTTGTTTAACCTTTCAACAAGTTCCTGTTTGGAGAATTCCACCTCTTATAATTTTTAAGTTAACTTGTTAGTCTTCAACAGAGTGAGTTGAGAAATCAACAGACTGGACTGAAAATGTCACTCCTCTTGCCCCTGTGTACGTGTCCTCCCTCCCCTCTCTTGTTATGCACATAGTGCTGACATTACAAGGGGAAGGTGCAGTGCCATGCCAAGAAACGAGAACATCCTGTCTACAGTCTCTTCCACTAACGTCAAGGATCTAACCAATTAACTTGGTGACGTTAGTCCCAATAAGCCCCATCCTACACAACCTGTTATGTTGCCATCCCGACCCATACTGGGTAAATGACCCACCCTGGCAGAAGTCACAAGATATTAAGGAGCGGACGGGTTCCAACGGGTGCCGGCTCACGTCTGGGAAGAACATTTTTTGACTCGCAAGAAGCTGCAAATGCTCGCGCTGTCTGTTTGAATCTTGTGCCTCATGCTCGCTCTGAAAGAAACCTTCAGAGTTTGACTACTTTGCAAAATTGGTTTTAGTGAGAGCATCTTCAAGTCAGAGTTCACTTCAAATAAAATCAGAGTGTCGGCATAATTGTTGAAATCCGTTCTCGTGCTCGCTCTACGGATTGGAAAATCATTTCTTTAAACTTGTGAACGTTCTAAAACAACCAACAGTCCAAAAAAGTGAGTTAAAACCAAAAATAGGCGATTGTGCAACCATGGATCAGGATTTGAAGCCCTTGGTCCCCCCGTCTGGGGCTCCAGTGGTTCCAGCGCAGGATTCGGGATGCAGCAACAAGATCTTGGAGAGCTTGGACCGTCTTCAGGCCACCCTGAAGGAGATGGAGAAGGCTTGCCGAGGCAAAGACGCCGAGGTCTGGCACAAACCTCGCAAGGATGGCAGGAAGGTCAGTCCTATATTAATAAATCAATTCATTATCCTACAAACGCTGTGTGTTTCTGTCCTCATCCCCATTATCCTCTGAACTTTGGTTGGATTTCGCTGTTCAGTTTGAAACATAATTATTATCAAACAAGTTTTGAGACGTCATTTCCTAATTTTTCTCATGCACTGTCCTTTTTGCCTTATTAAACAAAATCATGCACTCTCATTCATGTGGATTGGTAAAAAAAAAAGAAACCAAAGTTGCTTTAAGCTTTCAAGTTAATTTGTCAATATGTCATCAGAATCCTTTATTTTTCTCACTGAGTTCTCAAAGATCACTTCAGTATTTCAATCTAGTTGTTCACTTTGGAAACACACTAACAGTGTTCATGACTAGTAGAAGTATAAAGATTTGTAACATTCCCCAAACCGGCCAGTTGTTATTTGAGGGAAAACAAATATCAGGGAAAGAGTTATCTGATCTTCAAGAATTTGACACTATAGGTCTGGCTATACAGATACTTAAGTTACAAATTACTGAACTCTCATATCATTCATAAACAAACATATTCATTACTTTGATGTAGTTTTGAATAATTGAAGTTTTTTTTTTTGAGACTGTTAGGCTGTAATGTGGGTTGTGTGCTACATCTCCAGACAGCATGACACATGCAAGATTGCAGGAAGTTCCATTACCCGGCCCTCTTCCTATAGTTACCACAGGATCTTGAATCATATTCACTTTGGCATGGAGAGCAACATGTTGTGATTCTGTAATTTCTCAGAAGTCTTGTGGTCTCAGACAAGATTCTATAATTTCTCAGAGATCTTGTGGTCTCAGACAAGTAAAAAATGCTATTTAGCAATCAAAAGGTTTAGTACGGTGAGGATACAGCTAAATTGATGTGAATTTTTTAAAGGCATACACACTGTCTCAGAATTCAATAATTGTTAGTCATAATGAATTGTTACAAGAAATAGAGAAATTTTATTTTGTTTCTGTTGTGTATTTTTTACTTGTGGAGTTGCCAAGTAGTCACAACTCATTCTTTTGTCAATTTATAATCTCCTGAAAAACACTATAACTAAGATAGATTCCTATATTCTTTTAAGCCTCATTTATTGAGCACAAGACTCACACATTTGAAGCCATTTTCCTTGTCGCATCCACAAAATACTCATCTCAAAAGTGGATGGTGCAGGGGTGGGATCCTTAGGAAGCCGGGCCCCCTCCCCCCCTCCCCCAGCAGTGACCGAAATGTTCTCAAATATGGCAATTATTCACTTGAGAGAGTCCTTCGGCCCCCAGCAGTAACCTCTCTGGATCCACACTTGTTTATTAAAATCTAGAATGGTCCTTGCATCTACACGCACTTTCCAGCTTTCTAAATATTAGAGCAGAGCACGTCCCTCTTCTGGACAAATCTTGAATTTGCCACAACAACTGTAATTTTTCCCTCCAGATCTATGCTCGTGTCCGCTGCAATGTGATCTGTGTTGGAGAGATTGACACTGTCAAGCAAGAGTTCTCGGCTGAGATCTACCTGGCTGTGACCTGGAAAGAGCCGTCGGTCAAAGGCATGACGAGGGAGGTAAGATGAACAAGAAATCAATCTCTCTCCTCATATTTATTTTTATCCCTGGACATTTGTAGTACCATTTACTTGACATACTGTTGTGTGGTAGTAAACAATGCGTGGTAGTTCATAATGCAGACTTGTATTAAAGTTAAACACAAGTTAATGTCAAGTCACCCACAAGACAATCACAAGTCAATCACGAGACAATCACAAGTCAATCACAAGGCAATCATCTGCCAATCACAAGGATATCACAAGTCAATCACAAATCTATTCAACACTAATCAAGTCACAAGTAAGGTGTAACATCGCTGTTGCAAAAAAAAAAAATACTGAGAAAAATTATTGCGTTGACTTCGTAGATGACATCAGCAATTGTTATCCGTCAATAGTGAGCCCCTTGCATGGTTTAGTTCACAGAGAGGTTCGTCTGGCAAGCTAAGGACTCTTGAATGGATTATTGCATAAGAACTTATAGCAACCAACATAATTATGAAACAAATAGCCTGTTATGCAAGTTAACCCTCACTTTTTGTTCCAGTATGGCAAATTAGTGATTCCTGCCACTTGTTTGATTTGTCTATAGGACGTGGACTGGGAGGCACAGTGGAGCCCATGCGTGTATTTCTTTAACGCTGTCAGCATTGACAAGATGGTCTGCAAACACAATGTCATCTATCCCGAGGGCGAGCCAGATGGGGTACCAGACGCACAGGTGTCCTATCGAATGAAAGCAACATTCAAGGCCGGCATGACACTGCACGACTTCCCGTTTGATCATCAGGTACAGCAACAATAATTAAAGTTCCCCTAGTGTTGTCACATGGGTGGGGTGCAAGAAGACCCCAAGAGGTAGGGGGACCTAAAGAGCATGGAGGTATTCCGTCTTTATGCTATTGCATTCCCTGTATAGACCATTATCATGTTGTGTAACCAAAACGAGGCTGGAAGGAAAAATAGTCTGGTTCCTATTTGCACAAAGAACATTATCATTTAGCACTGTTATTGGATACAGGGAACATGACGGAAATGGTGGCAGCATGATAAAGGTCTATTCTGTCCCATACATTTGAGACACTTTCTCTAGCTTCTGGTTTGGCTTTGTTTCCAATTTAAGAACCCCTCCTTTCAGACAATTGTAATGTTAGGCCAAAATGAAAAGATTTCCAATTTTGGTTTCTTAAGTTCTAGGGTTTGATGTACCTTTGAAACTCTTCCAGAGATGCCACTTTTCTGGTTTTAACCTGAATTCAGGTGTTTTTGTTTTTAAATGTGACAAATAGCAAGTGCTGGATTTGGTCTGAAACATTCAGAAAACACATTTCTGAAAGGAGGTAAGGGTAGTTTCAGGTTTTTGAGTAGTGTTTCAGGCTTTTTATTGATATATTGGTGGCATCTCTGCTCTTTGCAGCATTGAGCTTTATTGAGTCTCAAAAGTCAGGGACCTATTGCCTGAAGCTAGTGTTGAAGCCTTTCTCAAATGCAACTTTCTATCAATGGAAGTTTTGGCACCATGGAATGTTATTTTTATCCTTTTAGGAACTGACCATCAAATTAATGTCTGACTGGCCTTTTACTGATGTGGAGTTTGTCAAGGATATGAATATCAAAGATTCTATTCGATTGGATACATTCACCGGTAAGTCAAAATGCTTATTTTCCGTCCGCAGGTAAGCAGTATTGCATGATGTCTGAAATCAAGATGCTCTGGAGTCATTCCGAACAACTGCATCAGTTGATCATTTGCCGTAGTCACTCCTAAATCTCTGGCGTGTCTTCCTGAAATGGATTCTGTCTGGGTTTTTTTCAGCCGGTGAGGAGTGGGTGCTGAGCAAGCACGTCATCGCCCAGCCGGTCCTTGAAGATAAGGCCAAGACTGGCTCCCATCGACAGTATCCTCTCTATTATCTCACGATGCACGTCAGACGTAAAAGTGGATTCTATCTCTGGAACGTGGGACTCATTCTGGTAAGTTGTGTTTCAAAATTCAAAATTCAAATTTGTTTGATTTGATTACTACAATGTTTGTAATGAATACACTCCAAATGTGACTCAGTCTGAGGCAAGAATTAGGCAGACCAAAGTTGTTGAACCCTTTTTGGAGATGATAAGTTCAAAGCTTCCTTAAACAAATTTTCGTCCAAAAAAGGTTTACATGTATAATTGAATTTCAAACTTTAAGTAACCATGCATCTTCTCACATTTGAAAACGAAAACACAGTATAAATTAATTCTGGAAACAATTGGTGAAAAAATTTATATCTGTAAAATGTGAAGATTCACTGTAATTTAAGGAAAAACAAACCCAATTATTTCTCAGGTAAGTAATTAAGCAACATCGTTGTTGTAGCTGCATTTATCATTTTTCTTTCTCAATGAGTTGACACAACTTAGACTTTCTCAAACACACTGTTGGCTTCTGGTTGCTTGGCAATGCTCACGCCCCAAACATGACATTTTGCCTCAAACATCCAAGAGTCATAAGGAAGCCTTGTGTTATCAGTGTACCTGAGGTGTTTCCTGCTAAGTCTAGGTCTAAAAATAGTCACATACGTCGGGGGACAAGTTTGGAAATAGCAACAAGTGGGACTAGTCTTTTAACAGTTCATTTCCCTGTCGGCGAGATAACAATACCACATTTGACCTGCCACGTTCTGCATACGTAAGATTTTAAGTCGGTTGACGTTCGATCTGTGTGAGTCATGATGCCTCGAGGAATATTACACATTAGCAAAAAAACAGAAAGAAAGATGTTTAGGGCGATAATTGTCGTAACCAGTCAATCAAGATTTGGGTCCTAATTACTGACATTTCAGTGGATTAAATTACAAACATTTTTAGGAGGTGAAGGGAGGGCTATACACACTTACACACCCCCCCCCTTTGTTAAAAATTAACTGGCACTTGAAAATATCAAAACGTATCTGTGTACATGTATGCTGAAGGGAGGACAGAATGAGATGAAACTTACAATGCGTCACTGCATGGTAGATTTTTGTTTGGATTGTCCTATTGTTTACAACAAGGTGGGAACTTGCAAAGAAACTTTAACTTAATTTTGCTTTGATGCCCACTGACATTTCCAGAAATTCAACTTTATACAAAGCAGAAACAACCCTCTCGAACTACAAAAAAAATGGTTCACAAAGTAACTGTTGGTAACAAGAATTTAAAAAAGAGTCAAATTTCAAGTGTCTTTTTAAAACTTTTGTGTCCTTGTTCATTTTTGCCATACAAGGGGAATTACATTTTCAAAACTGTTGTGTCTATTTTCATTTTGCCATGAAACAGGAGATAAATGTTATTAAAATGAATAAATGATATGTCTTTGTTTTTCAGATGCTAATTCTGTTGCTGTGCTTCACATGCTTCGCAGTCAGTCCTGAGGAGCCAGCGGATCGGCTGAGCGTCACCGTCACGCTGCTGCTCACTGCTGTAGCCTTTAAGTATGTGGTCTCCCAGAGTCTGCCAACCATCTCCTATCTGACGCTGCTGGTAAGAAGACGCACGCTGGTACCTGTGATGGATCATAAGCCATCACAAGTCCAAAACAGGTTCATCATAATTCCATCATAGGTCCATCACAAGTCCATCACAAGTCCATTACAAGTCCATCACAAGTCCATCACAAGTCCATTACAAGTCCATCACAAGTCCATCACAAGTCTATCGTGAGTCCATTACAAGTCCATCACAAGTCCATCACAAATCAACCACGGGTCCATCACAAGTCCATCACAAGTCCATCACAAGTCCATCACAAGTCCATCACAAGTTCATCACAAGTCCATTACAAGTCCATCATAAGTACATCACAAGTCCATCTCAACTCCATCATAAGTCCATCACAAATCTCTTATCTAGAGCAATTGCCTATAGGTCTTTGTCGATTACAACATCACAGAAGCAGCTGACAATAGCGAAGCATAGCCGTGGAGACTATTCTTGATACAGCCTTATAATTTTGCATTCTCCCCTCAGGGTACGATGATCGAGAACAATTATATATTATATAATTGTTCTCGATCATCGTACCCTGAGGGGAGAATGCAAAATTGAATAGGCAGTAACTCAAGGTTGACCTTGAGGATATACAAGGTTTTACGTGGTTCCTTGGGGTTCAGTTTTGCATCCTTCCCTGTCAGCTTGACTATTTCTAGATGACTAATAAGTTTTATTTTTCAAACTGTACCACAGGACAAGTACGTGCTGTGCGGACTGATCCTACAGTGCCTGATTGTCAGCCAGAATGCAATGGCCTCGCTGTTTGACACCGAGAGTCTACCCCTCTTTGACATTCTCTCGATCTGCGTACTGGCCGCCCTGGTGTGCTTGGTGCAAATTGTATTTATGCTGGCCAGTGTCATTAAGGTAGGCACAGAATTGAGAAGCCCATTGAATAAACAGGTACAAGCCAATTCTGTGGAAGTACCACCCCCACACATCTTTGGTTAGACTTTTTAGGGTACCTTTCTGTCCCTACTTTAAGACAAATCCGGGCACGTGATCACTGTACACTCATGAGGCCCCCTTCAATGGAGAAACCATTGTGCACGCTATTGTACAAAGCAACTGCCCCATGGCAGATTATCCGAACATAGCTAGCACAATGCTTCCATCATGGAAGGGGCCTTCATGATAGAGAAATGACAGCGTGCCCGGAAAGGTCTGTATTCTCTTTTTCTCTTGAAATCTCAACTGTTCACTGATGGGGTACTTGGATTACGCAGGGCTAACTTGTGGGGTCCCATTGTCCTTTTTGTTGCTCTTTGATCCCCGCATCCCCTAAGGCCACATCAACAGGTCCTACGCACACACTACGCAACTTAATGAATTGTTGTTATTGTTATTATTTCTGGTAGTGAAACCAAGCATTCCTCAAAGCGCCCTAGGCACTGTAGCTCATAAGCCTGAAGAAACCCGTAGAGAGAAGACATTAAGAAGAAATTACAGTTTTAGAGGTGGGAGGAAAACCCCAGAAGAATATTCTGAGGGAAACCCACGGAATCAGGTAGGGACTGAAAACCCAATCCACATGTGGACCAGGGCAGGAATCGAACCCTGGTCACAGCGGTGGAAGGCGAGGAAAGAACCGCTGCGTCAACCTGACTCCCCATGTAACACCGTAAGCTTGCCCGCCCTGATGTCTAGAGCCGTGTTCAGAACTCATGGTGTTGAAGTCTGCAAACCTTTAAAGCCAATAACTGTTATTCTTTGGATCTTTCTTTATTACAGTCAATGAGAGTTTCCAATAAGCTGCAGAAGTACACCAAGCAGTATAATGTGAGTAGAAGATTCTGGGTCCCTATATAATTTTTTTCTTTAACTACCAAATTTTTTATTATAATCTCAAATTGAACTTACAGGTTTTTTTTCAGCTGATGTTCTGAGCACACTTGGGTCAGTTCCCAATTCTTGGGTCAATGCTCTCGGAGGGCAAGCATCAAAAATCTTCACAAACTTCCTTTGGTGGGACTCGAACCCACGACCGCCTGCTTACTAGAGGAGATGTGAGCTTGCCGGGGTCGGTTGGCAAGTTTGAAATCTGATATGGCAGTGGGTACTGCAAACAATCAATACATTTGCATGATGGAACTTTTTCCGTCAGGAATATGTAAATTCAAAAATGTTGCTCTTCTGTGTCACAGGAACTGTGTGATCAAATCAACCAGAGTTGGCAGGCACGCCAGCAGCAGCTGAAGGACCGGGAGAAAGAGAAGAATGAGCAGTACGCCGGGGAAAAATCACTGGTGGACTCCACCACGGAGCAGGTACTTCTACTACAACGCACACTCCCTGTCCCTCCTCCCCCCAGAGGCAAAGTCAAGAGGAAAAGTCGCAGTCTCAAGAAAAATAGTGGAAGTTTGAACTTTGGGGAGGGCGAAAATGGGGTGGAGCTACTATCTGTTAAGGTGGGGACCACCTTTGATCCTCCACTTTGACCGATCAGTATTGCTTAAGTTATTAAAAAAAAAGGGGTCAGCGGGTGAAACCTTTTTGAGTTGGTTTTTGAGAATTTTCAATAAAAATGATACATCCATGTACATATCTACCAAGAATTCAAGAATGTAACCAATTGACCTTAAGGAATTTAGAAGTTGTAAAGTTAAAAGGGTTTGATATTTTGATTCAAGTAGAATCTTTCTCATTGGCCAAAAAAAGAAGTATAGCATACAGATGGTATGGCGGCCTTTTTAATGACATTATCATGACATTCTCATATTCACGTCAGATGCACAAATGAAAAACTGTTACTGCAAATTACAAATTATAGCCAGTTCTGCCCACACGCAATTACAAATGACAAGTATACGATATCTTTAAGATAAATTTATGGTTGCTTCATGTAACAAATTTCTTTTGCGATTTGTGAGGGTCTGAAAAGAACCCGGGAAACTCGGAACCTCACAAAATCACACAAAAAGAGATTTGTTACATGGTGCAACGTTCAAGTTCATCCAATATTGATAACTTCGAACCATGCAAGTCTTATCTATACCATATTGTTCCAATCATTTGATTGATGTTCATTTCTTATCATTTTTCAGACGGACATGACCTTGTTCGTGGGTGACATTCCGACACAGTCAAGTACTCTGTGAACAAGTGGACCCCGCGAAGACAGTTACCAGTGAAGAGTGAAGACGCTTTTTGGAAGAGCTTGGAATTGAGATACAACAAAAAATGATCTGGGGATAATTTCTTTTAATTTTCAGGGTTTTATCTCAAAGTTTTGATCCTAGATATCATCATTGTTTCCGACCGTAAGTTCACCTCTAAAGGAGACTTTTGGAAGCCTTCTTGAGGTGCGCCACAAGAGCAAAAATTTTAACAGGTAGTTTTTACCCTTGTGACATGACGAACACATGTACATGGCATAATTTTGCCCGCCAAAAAATATGTTTTTAAAAATTAAACACCAATGAAGATCTATATTTTAATGATTAAAAAAGTAAAACTATTTTAAACCATATGCTAAGACTTCATTAAGCACCCCTCATTTTGCTAGGATATTTCTAGAGAATTCCTTAAAAAATAACACAAAACAATTAAAACTTCCTCAATTTTTTGTGTGTGATTTCCACCAATTAAAAAAATTGAAGTCTTCAATTTTTTTAAGTCTAGATCTACACCTGGGCCTAATACAGATCACACTGTTTTGGGGTTTAATGGTGATCATAAGAATTTTCTGGGATATATGCATTTGCCTGTTGGGTCAAGGTTACTCCCCAAGTTGGGCTGACACTGTGAACTGTGTGTTGAATGGGGAGGCCCATGCAATCTACAGGGATAGGTTTGGCCAATATGGCAAGCCCACAAAAGAAGGGTCTGAGCATTATGCTTTGAATTTAATGGGATCAGCTATCCATGACTGCAGGTGCAATTAATATTGTAAAGCTTGTAAACAACCTGTTCCAGACAAAACCACACAGGCCACCGCCTGTGTGGTTTTGTCTGGAACACACAAAACTGAGGTGTAGACTTCAAATCAAGTCGGTAATTTTTGGAATTTTTATGGAATTTTTTTTTTGGGACAGAGCTCGTTTTTTTTTGACCTCCTAACCCCCCCCCATCCGCGCCTGTATATTCAGTAAACATGCCTTCATTTTTCCCCCCGAGATTTCAGAAATTAGTTTTTCAGGCACAAAATTGTAGTTTTAAGTTTCACACCATGTATCTTGCTGAAGTCCATATAAACTAGTGTATATAATGTAAATATACTGTTTAGGTAAGGCCCCCCCAAAAAATAAGTCGGTCTCTGGTCAGCGCGCGCGTCGATTTTAATCATGCGCGTCGATCTTTTTTTTTCTCCAAAATGTTCCGCGGTAGCTCCAACAGCGCCCACTATTTCCGCACCTCCTCAATTTTTTTTTACCAAAGAGCACCAAGGAATGGGAAATTGCACCAAGGCAAATGATCAAAAGCACCAAGGCAAATTATGGAGGACACCAATGTACATGAGGACACCAAAAAAGCAAAATAGTACCCCACCTTGTCTGTACAATCCAAGCTGGAAGAAAAAAAAAAAAGGCAAAAAAAAAAAAAAAAAAAAGCCGCGTGGCCGCGTCAATTCCGGAACTTTGGTCTGACCAGAGACCGAATATTTTTTTTTTTTGGCCAAATGCTTAAAATTTAACATCTGAATTTCTTTATCGTGGCTGATTTCAGGTATTGACAATTGCATGTTGCATAACAAAAAAAATTTAATTTGGGACTCGCTCGTATTAAAACTGACTGGAACATATAAACCAACACACTCAATGTGGAGGTTCTGTATTTATGAATTCTCTGGTCAAGCATCAAGTGATACGCGTGCACGTAATGTATATTGTTTATTATTTCCTGATTGCTGAAAATTCCATTACAAAGACAACTTTTAGTATAGTAATGTAAAATGGAATGCATTATACAATTAAGATGTCTACATGTACATGTGCATTCTTAGAAAAGTGTCTTTTGCTCTCATTTGAAGTAGACACATTTTTGAACAAAAACAGAAGTTTTTACAGAAGACAGGCAATGTCTGAAAATGAACAACTCTACCTCAAACATGTCAAAACGACAGCACATTCTATTTTCTTGAAATGAGTGGTCACTTTTTTTCCAGGTTATCTGAAAACAACTCACATTTTTATACGTTGGTGAAGGGCAAAACCTAATTTGATTAAGTCACATTTAGGTTTTTGTATGACGCTCAGTGAATTTTGTTGATGTCCCCTAACGTGCCACGGCTCCTAAACGTAATGCACTTTGTTTTTTTGCCGTAAGTGCCTTGCTAGAGCTCAAGTTTTACGTTAAATTTCACAGTAGGTGAATTTCATCAAGCTCTAAACATTCATGTTCACAAACTTTGAGTTTACCTACTCGTTACAAAGTTAAGAGAGAATTTTCACCTTGGAGATATTTTTCGATTTTATTTTCAAGTGTTCAGCAAACCCGTTAAAATGCACCCAAAAATCTGCCAATAATGTTCTCACAAAGATGTTGGTGGATATGTGAGTGGAGATAATAACAGTTTATTTAAATTTGTCTACTAAAGAAATCATTTAATGTTCATGTGTGCCATGTTAAGGAACACTCGGCTGATTTTGTGCCCAATTTCCGGATGCTGCCATTTTTGAGGTTTGGACTAATTTTCTTGAAACTTAAATTGTGGAATTCATGAAACCTAAATTGTTTAGGGCTCAACAGCAAGCATTATTAAGGTAATACCTTGTAGAACCAGTATTTAACTGAATGAATGTGACACTTGTCAACAAGGAGGTTTGGCAACACTTCCTGAGGAAAATCGGGGGATACGTTGAAGTGCACCACATCAAAGTACATCGATTCTAAGCATAATGCTTGGAGGCTTTGAACAAAAACTTGCGATAAAAACCAGTGTTGGTACAGAAATCTCATTTGAAAACTGTAGAGTCAATTTTTTCAAATAAAACTATAAGGGAGTACCGAAGTGAATACGTCACGTGCACAAAATATGTGTGAAAGACATTAGCGCGTGATTCAGCACGAGAACCAACACGCGCGCGCACTCCATTCGTTTGCACTACACTTTCTGGTTCTAAATGACGTCACACTTCGGTACTCCATTACCTGGAGGAAGATATTACATGTACATGTATATGCTTGTAATGAAAAATTAGTTATCCCACAAGCGTGAGTGGACTTATGTCGAGAATGTCGCATCTTTACAGAGTACCTGTTCAAAGGAACTCAGGCTTGGAAGCCTTCCAGTAATGGCCAACAAAACCATAACCGTAATTTCAACATTTGTGTATTGTGTTCTGGAGTAAGGCTTGTCATTTTTACTCATAATACACTTCTGAAATACAACGCTTAACACACAATGGTCTGTGCAATAAAGTAAAGTGCAATTTAAAGAACATTTTAATGCAATCCATTTCAAAACTTGGCAAATTCTACAAATATGGAGTTTTATTTTTTAGTCCGAATAAACCAATATTTAAAAAGGAATGACTGTTTGTGGAATTATTTGTTCCTTTTGTTAAACCTTCATCTCTTATTGGAGTAGTGATCATTGAGTTTAGGAGTTGCGTAAACGTGGCTTGGTAAATTGCTACAGTTGCTCAACAATATCAGTTCAGAATTGAGTTTTTAATCATTAATTAATTGAACATAAATTGCGTTTTGAATTGATTAATACATGAAAGTATGGAAGATTTGTGGTAGCACCGTGAGTTGTAATGTTCTGGGAAGAACCAGTTGTTAAATGAATGATTAATAAATTATTACAATTAAAGTTGATTACTAATTTGTTACAAATACAATTATCCATCAAAATCTTTTTCTTCCAAACATGAATTAATTGGACAACAGTTTGATAACGGTTAGGCTACTGTGTCTTTTTGTGGGAACTACTGCACATCTGCTCATCCCTGAGAAATTCTGCACACACAAAATGCCCGATTTCAAAAAATTATCAAAAAATGATGTGGTACCAATTTAACATTAGTACCATATTGTATGATATACACTCTTCGTTAGGCTAATGCTAAGCTCCCCCTGAAAAACATTTCGATTTTTGAAAATATTTAGGTTCAGAAAATTGGTTATTAATACCCCACTTACCTCCAAAATCCTAAATAATAGCCCATTACCAAATTCATTAGTGTATACAAAATAACAGGAACTGCCATCCAAATAAATAGAATACATTTCTGGATTTTTTTTGTTAAAATAATTTCACAAAGTAAAAAGTCATCATGCCCTTTCTCAAAATAGACAAAACAATCATTCACGAAAGTATTTTTTTTTTTTCATGTGTAACAAATCCTCTTAAGAATACTGTAAACATGAACAATTTAAAATAGCCGCTGGTTCTTCAAAATCATCATATTGCTTTCATTACTATGGATTCAGATGTCTGAAGTATAACAATTTTAACTTTGATATAACTTTGAGACCTTGATATATACAAACAGCACCATTAAACATTTCATTTTTAAAATATTCATTAAATATGTGCAACAGTAGCATTGTATCTCTTTTCCTTAATTTCCCCCTAATTAAAAGTTCCCAAGATCAAGTCAAGACCTCTTTAATCTAATTCCACTTCAAAATGACATCTTTATTAATCTGAACAAGTGCACTTTGTTAGCCTGTGTTAATTTTTATAATGCTAGAAACCAACTACATGTATATCCTTCTCAGTTAGCTTATTTTTGTGTTAATTCAAGAACTTCTCTACGCTGTAAGACATGAAATTCATTCAAAAGAATTAAAACCCCTCTTTCCCTGTTATTAAAGTTTTCCAAACACGTTCATCAGAACAATTCATCAAAATACAATACGAAACTGTAGTCCTAGTAGGCTGAAAGAAGTCGTGCGTGTATGGTAACGCCCAACATGTTGTTATCTTGCGATCTTGCTTACTTGAGAATGGTGGGTGCTATCATGACGTTGTGGGAGTAATATTTGCACCCAGGCTCCGGGGTGATTGGAAGCAACTCTGTGCTGATGTTGTCTGCCTTAAAGCCAGCCTCCACGATGTGATGCACTTGGGTTTCCTGTAAGAAAGACATGCAATAAATGTATGTACACAGGTTGGACTGTGAACAAAAACGCTTGAGGGCACTGTTTTGTAAAAGTACCCCCTCAACGTAGACCACAGGCCTGGCCAGGGGCCAATTTCATAGGGCAGCTTAAGCACAAAATTTGCTTAAGCACAAGAACCTTGCTTAATATAATCAGGTTACCCACCATAAGGCCAGAAAAAAAATAGTCGGTCTCTGGTCAGACCAAAGTTCCGGAATTGATGCGGCGACGCGTTTTTTTGGGGGGTTTTTTTGGTGGCTTTTTTTTTTTTTTCAAGCTTGTATTGTACAGACAAGGTGCGTACTATTTTGCTTTTTTGTGTCCTCATTATACATTGGTGTCCTCCATAATTTGCCTTGGTGCCCTTTATCATTTGCCTTGCCCTTTATCATTTGCAATGTCCCCATTCCTTGGTGCTCCTTAGTACAAAAATTTGAGGAGGCGCGGCAATAGAGGGCGCTGTTGTAGCTTCCGTGTTAATTTGAAAAAAAAGAAAGGTTTACGCGCATGATTAAAATTGACGCGCGCGCTGACCAGAGACCGAGTATTTTTTTTTTGGGCCTAAAGTCCATGCGATGTACATTGCTTGTGACTGGTATTTAGCTGTTGTTAACTTAGCATAATACATTGTAATCGCGTGGAGTTTTGGTGGGTAACCTGATTATATTAAGCAAAGTTTTGTTGTGCTTAAGCAAATTTTGTGCTTAAGCAGCTCTATGAGACTGGCCCCAGCTTATAGCACAATTGCATTATGAGGACAGGCAGCGGCCTCTTGCTTCCGATAGCTTATTGGTTGCTGTGTCTTGGCTGTGCCGCCTCCCCTTTAGTTTGATTGGCTGCTTCACCTGCACTCTCATGCGTCACGCTTAACGCGCCACCCTATCGGTATGCACACAGATATATTTAACATTAGGTTGACCCCAACGTCACAAGTCAATCTGACAATCAAGAGCTGGTCATTATCAGACTCCAAATGGCCCGCAATTTTGCGTTTGTGTTCAGACTACCCCTCAACGGTGTAAATGAAAAAAAACAGCTGATATTGGAGGATTTTTTTTAAATGTGGTGTTTTTTGGTGTGTTTTTTTTATATTCGGATATCTCACACCATGGCTTAACGAACCAATCTGATCCAAAATATTACAAATTTACTGTAAAAATGAAACTAACCCGACCAAACTAAATTGATGCCAAATCTGAACTGAAATGAATTGAACCAAAATTCAGTGTAAGGTTTCAGTTGCTGGTCTGGTTTGCAAAAAGAGCAGGTTATGTATAAATTCAAAACGACGAAATGAGAAATGGTAAAGCTTTACCCTGCATCATTAACTGCTAGAGCCAGAAAATACATAATAAATTAGATTGTTTGTTTTAGGGGGTGGAATTGTAGAGAGGCTGTAATGATATCACCTGCATACCACTAAATAAACCAAATCCTATTCATCAGACATCTCTAGATTCCTATTTTGAATTCAAGATTTTAAATTAGATTAGACAGCACTTCAGTTCACACATTCCAACACACTTTGAAACTTTGGACGAAGTCCAGTCTGCTGGTTGAACCACATACAAAGACGGATGAGCAGTTCTGATGTTATACAAATATTGAGTGGCTCAGAGTGAAATGGGAGGAATATTATCGCAAGGTTAAATCTGGACTTTTCCAGACTGTAAAAGTCCAGATTTTACCGAGTGATAATATTCCTCCCATTTCACAATTTAAAGCCACTCAATACTCAATATAACTGACATATAGATCCTTGTCATTTGACATATTTGAACTTTTTATTTCAATAAAAACTGGAGGAAAATGTGTATTTCTCTCTTCCAAACCACCCCTTTCACGAAAATGTTTGAACCCAACGCTGTAGCGCTGGCTCCTTGGAACAATACGCGCTACGCGCAATGCTGAACGCGCACACTAGCATGCATTTGCACACAAATACCGCGTCATGGAACAAGAATGATCCTAACTGTTCAATAGTATTTCCCATTCCCCATGGGCGGATAGTACATACTGAGGCCCGTCGTGAATGGGAGTAATAACGAATGTCACGTGATGTGAGTTCCACCAATCAAATGACAAGGATATGTATGTCGGTTATATAATTGTTAATGGCTCACTGGCATAAAGGAAGTGGTTTTCTGACCTTAAACATGACCTCGATGTCTTCATATTTGGACTTCATCCACTCGCCCCATGACGTCAAGTTGCAGTAAGTCAGCACCCCGCCCGGTTTCAGCAACCGGTAGGCGTGGCCCTTCAAGAAGGGAAACTGATGGGTGTGCCAAGTGTCATCCGAGAGGGGAAAGGTGTCATATAGAATCCCTATTGAGAAGAAAACAAGATGAGACAAGTCCAGGGGCCAATTTCACGGCGCTGCTAAGCACAAAAATTTGATTAGTACAAAAAAAGTCTGGTTTATAAAAACAGGTTACCAGCCAAAACTCCATGTGATTTTCATGCTAAGCAAACAACAGCTGAATACTGATCACGAGCAATAAACATCACGTGGAGTTTTGGCTGGTTACCTGCTTTTATAAGCCAGACTATTTTTGTGCTAAGTAATTTTTTTTGCTAAGCAGCACCGTGAAATTGGGCCCTGTAAAGATGGTTCCACAGACCACAGAATAGGCCTTACTCACGGGTCGGCCATATAAAATTGAAAGCAAGGTGAAAATCTTCATTTTGGAACTTGCAAATAGAAATGAAAGCAATGAAATAAAGTACAAATTAATACCAGTCTGCTCTGATGAATAATTTGAAATATGTGATTAATAATGTGCTAATGTTTTGAGCCACATTTAAAAAAAAAGGAAAAAAAAGTGAGGCTTGGAACGCATAAATAGTCTGGCACCATCCCATTCAACGGTTTACAAGGGCTATTTACACGTTGTGATTTTGTCACAACGACTATGTCACGCGGCAATGTCGCACACGCACGTGTGTGAACGAACAAATACGGGATATGTTGCACGATTTTAAAAATTATTAGGGCGATAAGTCGCATGACTTCGTCGCGTAAATGTAAACGCGCTCATTGATTTGTGCTTGTATATAAATACGCGCGACATTATCGCGCGACAAAATCGCGTATGTGTAAATAAATATCAGGGAACACGATAAAACATGGCTTCATCGTGAGTAATGTCTATTCAATTCACTGGAATCCTTTTATTCATCTACAATGGGCCGGATTTAGCCCATTCATTGGTGTTACTGGGTGCTACACTCAACCAAAGAAAAAAGTCCCCCTTCCAATACTTTTTTGTCTAACTCAAAAACTACTGAGCACCTCTCGCTCAAACGACGACTTATCAGTACAGAAATTCCTTAGCAATCCAGCCATACTCTTTGTTTGGCCCAAAACAGTGAAAATGCGTACATATTTATGCAATTAATGACAAACGATACCGAAAACAGTTGCACTGTGGCATACGTGCAAGTTGTGGTTCACACTCACCTTGCACGTATACAAAAGTGCAACTTTTTTTTTTGGAACCATTTGTCATAAATTGCATAATTCTGTACACATTATCACTGTTTTGTACCAAACAAAGAGTATGGCTGGATTGCTAAGGAATTTCTGTACTGATAATTTGTAATTTTAGCAAGATGCGCCCAGTAGTTTTTGAGTTAGACGTATTAAGGGTTATTAAAAGTATTAAGGGGGGACTTTCTTTTTTGGTTGATGAAACTATGCCTAATGCTTACCATCAAACTGCTCGTCTTTCAGTGTTGGGACGACCTCTTCCCACATTCCCTTTAATGGTGTCACCTAACAGAGGAAAACAGATTTAAAAAAAAAAATCTTCATTTCGGAATTAGATCAAATTCAACAGTCTTACTAGGCAAACAAGAGCATGGCATTCCAACCATATACTGACTAATGAAAATATCCAATATTGAAAACACAAAACAAAACAAGAAGACAAAAAAAAAAAAAAAAAAATTTGGTGTGCCATGCTGGAAAACTAATGCACCAAACTGAAAATGAGCAATATGCATATTTTTAGAACCAAATTTGTTAAAACCAAAATTTTCCAATTTTTCCAATTTGAACCTGTACAAAATGCTAGTCTCTTTCACCGTACATGTTTTTTTTTTTTAACTATCATTAAAAATTCAGGGACGGAAGCTGTGGTAACTGGTATTTGCATTAAAGCTGAATAGTGCATACATTTTGTAAGCATGTATTCAATGCATGCTGCATTGTACGGTACTCTACACAGGCTGACTACAATTAATACTAGAAGGGGATCTATACATACATGTACGTTTCATTACATTGTATTTTCCCTGATGTATCCATAAAACCATAGAGTGCTGGGGAAGTTTGGGGTCGGACGGGGACTTCCCCCACCTGACAATTTAAGGACTGCTCATCAGCTCCCTTAACCAGTTCGCGCCGGAGGCCGTGTATACACGCAATGTTATGCCGCATCCGGAACAAATGACAGATAAACACGCAGGGAGCGAGGCCGGAAATATCCGTCAGCGACCTGCTCGCAGCGAGTGAGGCCGGAAATATGAATGTGCTGCCCGAGGGTGATGGCTTCAACCCGCCTGGCTTGAGGTCAAGTGAAAAGTAATCCCGCGCCTCGTTCTGTTCTTGTCAAAATAATCCCGGCGTGAGTGAACTGGTAAAAGGCACAAAGTGTATTTAAACAAGTCAGGTGTGTTTACAAACACAAATGTCCCGCAACCGTGGCTGTTTCCATGACATAACACCACTCTAACATCAACTTACATGTACCTTGGTCAAATGGAACGTTCATTGACAGCATTAGTGTCTTCTGTAGGTTTTATATGAATTAATCCCTAATCCCTATAATCTCAGATTAAATACAAGATTTCTATTGTTTTAGCCACTGTGACCTTGACCCTTGACCTTTCGACCCCCAATGCGATAGGCTCCTTAGGATTGCCAAGGACAATCCACAAACCAAATTTGAAGTTCATATGTAAAGTATATCTCAAGTTATCACGCTGACAAAATTTCTTTTGTTTTTGCCACTGTGACCTTGACCCTTGACCTTTTGGCCCCAAATGCAAAAGGCTTCTTAGGATTGCCAAGGACAATCCACAAACCAAATTTGAAGTTCATATGTAAAGTATATCTCAAGTTATCGCGCTGACAAATTTCTATTGTTTCAGCCACTGTGACCTTGACCCTTGACCTTTCGGCCCCAAATGCAAAAGGCTTCTTAGGATTACCAAGGACAATCCACAAACCAAATTTGAAGTTCATATGTTAAGTATTTCTCAAGTTATCGCGCTGACAAGATTTGTCCGGACACACACACCCACCCACCCACCCACTAACACACCCACCCACCCACCCACGGAAGGACAAGGCGGAAACAGTATGCCCCTTCGGCTTCGCCGCGGGGCATAATAAAATCCAACCCCCCCCCCCCAAAAAAATTTACCAGTTAGCTTCTTTGAATTACAGAGTTCAGTCTCCTGACGATGACTAGAGCAGGCTAGTCGAAACGTTGAGACCAAAGACAAGTTCTCTTAGAACTTTAAAGCAGGACTGTTCTTATCAGAACTAAAACTACTTAGCAAAAGTTGATAATAAGCAGGACAAGTTCTTTTCAGAACTACATATCTTCTGAGCAGTAGTTATTACCACATGGTGTTACCGCAAACCGAAACGATATTGATTTCAACTACATGTATACCGACTTTGTTTTCTCTTGTTGCATTTTGTGTCCAAGACACATGTACAAAGCTATCAGCTACATGAACCTTATCGGGTTATGACTCAATCTATTTAACCTTTGGACGTGTACAGAATTGTTTGCATCGGTGTTACCACGGAAGATCGGGGTGTTCTCCATTGAGGCAAAAAGAACAGTTTGTACTGAAGCGATAGAAATTTTTGAAATCTAATAAAAGTCTGTGCATAATTGGTCAATGTCAAATATAATATACAGGTTCAGATGATTTTTGAGAAATAAGCAACTAATAGATGTAAGTGTTGAACTGTAGTTTGGGATCATCTCAAATATAAAAATTATGACCAGGATTTCTGAAAAATCTGTGTTGTTTTTCAGCAGTCAATATATACATGTACATTTCTGAACAGTGAACAGTTTTGTGAGCCTTTTCTTTTTCCCTGGATATGATGCAGTGTGTATGTGCACAATGTGAAAAAAAATTAAGTCTAGTCATGACCGATGCACTGTATGGAAGCCAATATGGTAATCAGCTTGTAACATGACTTCATTTATTATGCGGTGTAGTTTGGCAAACAAGATATGGATGGGTGCTTTTGTGAATATTATGTGAAACTGGTTAAACAAAATTTATAAAAGGTTCGCCCAGCTGCAGCACTAAAGCTGCACTAAAGGCTATAATGTTCTGAACACATTTAGAAACTCTCCACCCACACATTGTGATTCAATTCAATCAATTCAATTTCAATTCAATTCAATTTATTATTAACCATCATGATTAAAAACATGAAAATCAACACCCCGTGTGTTCAAAACAGTTTAAAAGACAAGACAAATCCACAACAATTTATCAAAACAGCTTACAATCACACTCAAACACAATATGAATACAAACGAGTACACCATTATACAGTCTTATTTAAAATGATAAAATCATCTTTTAAAAGTGATAATTAATTGATTAAAATGTGGTATGACTTGGGCAAGTAGATCTCTTTAAAAGCGCTGTGATATGATGGTTCTGCAAGGACCCAATGGTCAATTAAAAAAAAAAAAAAAAACAACCCTAAAACTAAAAGAACAGACATGACAGAGATCTCACAAGGATTTTCATTCAGAGTGAAGATTTTAAAAGGTGGTGGATTTAGACAAATCTAAGTGATCAGAATGAGCATAACGTTACCTTGTGTGGTTGTTGTTTGGCCCATTCTTCCAATCTTTCAAATACTCCGTCGTTGCATTCAATGATGACGTGTTCGGTAATATTTTGTTGTTCAATCTTGCTTGCAGCAATGGCCAGACCAAAGCCTATCTCCAAGACACGCCCACCTAGTCAGAAAAATACATAACAATGTGATAGGATCATCAAATTCTTCCTTAAAGGTGTCAAGTCATCGATCAAAAAAATTGGATGAAATCATTTTTTTTTTTTTAAATGCTACAAGTACAATGATCATAAGATCAGACATCATTTCACCTCCAAACTCTAAATAAAATAATCATCATTTAGAACCTTTATTTCAATGTTGCCATTCTTCACAATGTGTACAATCTTGTAGAAAAAAAAAAAATGGATAAATGTAATTAGAAAAGCACTGTATGCAGAGATCTGAAATACTAAAGGAGCAAAAGTAACGACAACATTTAGGTTGAACCCTAACTCCCTACTGTCTTTTACTAAGTGCCGGACCAAGTCCGCCAAAATCCATCAATCACACTGCTTCCAATGCATGCTTTGCTTTAGGCCTCCAAGGCCCAAGTCCATCACACTCCATCAAAATTTAGTCATTGAACCAGGCCTGTAGGACCAAGTCCCCCAAAATGGGGGGATGGATTTTGATGGAGTTGGAGGGTTAAGTTAAGGAGAATACACGAGAAAGTGTGGATTCGTAATTTAAAAATTCACGAGGCCCGAAGTGCCGAGTGAATTCGTAAATTAAGAATCCACACTTGCGAGTGTATTCTTCGACTTAAACCATTGCGTCAAAAGAAGTATTGGCATTAACAGTGAGTGGAGATGAAAAGACTTGGGATAAATGTTGCAACCTGACGCCACTTCCGCGATTGTGTACAAAGTCTATGGAGAGTCAAGAATTTTTTTAAAGTATTTCCTAACAAAATTAGAAATATTTTTTCAGTCCCAGATTCATGTCTTATCATCATTTTTGCAATGAATGACCTTCATTGAGATGATATATGAAGAAAAAAAGTGGCGTCAGGTTGCAACATTTTTCCCGGCTCCTTCCGTCGACATATGGATAGTTCAGACGATGATTTCTTTCTGACTCGAAGTAGGTTTTGCAGTGACGGCGGAGAATCTGACAGTGAAGATGCATTGATAATTTCGGAAGGAAATTTTCATGCATACGGTCCTATTCATGCTCATTATGGAGAACAATTATCTGACGTGTTCAAAGTGTGGATTCGTAATTCCGAATCCACACTTTACTAAAGATTCGTTGTTCCGAATCCACACTTTGTGAGCAGTGTAAGAGATTCGTAGTTCCGAATCCACACTTTTAACAATAGTGTGACATCATAGCAATGGTTTAAGGTGAAGAAAAATGCTTTTGTACGGCCCTAACCTATTGACAAAGGACAAAAAAACATGACAAAGGACAAAAAAAAACCCCAAAACCAAAAAAAAACGGTGTGAGACAAGACAAAAATTAATGAAGTCAGTTATAAATTGTTATATGAATATGAATTGAGCTATCAGGTTTTTAACAAATATACATAAAGGGAGTGATAATTGAAAAAAAAAAACTCATCTTAACTGTTCCAGTATAAAGTGCAATGTTAAAAGTATTTTTGGATAAAGTTGTTCAGTTAAAATTGGACAAATAAATTTTTCCTAGTGGAAATTTGGGTATACAAATGAATGTAAATTATGCATTATATAAAAATTAATATATAAAGTAACACATAAATTTGCCAAGATTTGAATAGTACAGGTCATTGAATTGTAATAGACACAGACTTAAATAAGGGAATAAATGTGTGCTCCGGAGGTTTTTATCACTCGTTTAATACCGCTTAAGCCCTGTCCGCACTGGACTTTTTTTGGTCAAACTAACCGAGACTATGGGTACTTTTCCCATTTTAAGTCCAGTGCGGACAGCCTAGGACGTTTTCCTCTCAGTTACTTTTCCTGAGTCCAGCGGTTACTTTTACTGGCCAACTGCTGCCCAGGAAAACTTCCCACGCGCCCAGGAAAACTGACCGAGTCGCTTTTCCCAAGACGATTAGTCCAGTGCGGACAGTGCGAGTCGGTAAAAGCGGCTCAGGAAAGCGTACATCCGGCCCGAGCGCCCTGTTATGCATACAGAGACCGCACGAACCTGCACGTGCAGTGGCCGAACATTTTGTAGAAACACGCTGCGGCGTATTATCAAGTCCGAGCGGTAAAATCTCGTTAAAATATATATTTCAACGGACAAATACATACACAGAGAAGAGAGATCACATTCTGAGAATTAATTTGCGGAAATTCTCTTTCTCCACCGATGTATGTTATTTTCTACGATCCAAATTCGTCCTGATACGCTACTGTAGTCATGCACGGAACATCATGGTCCGGTACCGTATACGTAGGCCGTAGTCACTGGTTCCTGGCCCACATCATAGCTTCGATTCTGTAAGCATGCGATGGGAACCAACGAATACTGATGGCACTGCTGCCGCACGGAACATCGTACAGCGGCATGGCTTCGACGACGTGCATCACAAATGCGTCAGAATTATAGGCCCTTTCGTCAAGATTTAGCGTGTCAAGATGAAATAATATCGTGTAAACGATTATGTTATGCATGCAAATGGCGTGTGTAATATTACTGAGCGTATCGGTGGCTGAAAATGTGATCGGCAATTTGTTTTCTGCGTACGGTGAGTCATTATACTGACACTGTGACAGCTCGGTTACTTCTCCCACGCGGTCGGGGTAAAATTTCCCGTGTCGAAAGTCCAAGTGCGGACAGTGGTCACATTTGACCATTTTTCATTTTACCATCGTCTCGGTAAAACCTTCCAAAAAAAAAGTCCAGTGCGGACACGGCTTTAGAGTCTGGGTGCTGATAAATACCCGAGCCGGAGGCGAGGGTAATTATCAGCACCCAGACTCTAAGCGGTATTAAACAGAGTGATAAATACCGACCGAGCACATATTTATTCCCATTCATAAATACCTTATCCGTAAAAAAATATCAAATAATTCGTTCAAAAAATCCCGATTTTGTTTAACAAGTTCACTTCATGCTTTTTGAAACATCCCTCTAGCAAAATAATGGAGTGTTCAGCTGGCGAGTAAGATGTAAACAACCCTTTTATGGAGATTGACGCGCGCGTAACATGTTCTGCGCGATGTCAGGCAGAACGCACCTGGGGCGTTGCGTTTTGAATTTAGAACTATAAAATTCTGACTCCCTTGTAGTGTTGCGCATGCCTACGTGGGGATTGTGAACGTTCAACCAATGAAACGATAAGAGGCACTGGATATTTAGGAGTCCACATTTTATTGTGACACTGGAAAAGTGTTTAAGACCAGCTAGCCATGTCTTTATCATACGTTTAAGACCGGCCACGTGACGGGCTCTCGACCAATAGGAATAGCTAAACTGTCTGAGGTATTTATGAATTGCAAATAAAGGAACGGAATGATCAAGATAGCCAGCATGAGATATTACTCCTATAGCTGTTTTTTTGCTGTAAAATAAGCAACTGGCTGCATTTTGATGATGAACCACCCCATATCAAAATTGAGTGATTCAAAGTATGGCGAAATGCAAATTTGATAAAATTCTAATGGGGAGGTAATATTTTAAACAATTCCTTATGCAAATTTTTTTAAATATTTCTGTCACTATATAATCATCCATGCAATTTTTTCAGGTGAGATTCTCGTCAATAGTTATGCCCAGGAATTTACTTCTTATTACCTGATTTAGACTTGGGTCGCTTACAATAAAAGGAACAGATTGAGAAATTTACTGATCGGCGCCAAAAAATCACATAGTTGGATTTTAGCAATTAGGAGGTTAATTAATACATAGTTTGTTACCTAAACGTCATGTACTTATCTTTAAGTTCAACATGAAGGTTTTACTACCGACATCAACATTTTTGGGAGTATAGGCCTATAATAAACTTCTTCCGAGATATGGATGCCCTCCTAAAAAAAAAAAAAAAAAAAAAAAAAAAAATCTGCAGCCCATTTTTCCATGATCAGTTGCATCATTGTACTTTGTAGGTTTTTAACATTTTCAAAGGATCAGGGATCTCAAAATTTCACAAATGCCTTCTTTGGATGACCAACAGGATGAATGGTCTCACATATATGTTAGAATCCGGTATTAAAAGTATAACACAAAGTTTTCCCGTTTCAAGATAAACGCCTAAAAAAAAATACATTTTGCGCTGATTTTTTTCTTTTGCAATTTTTAGTCTGGTGCCAACATGTAACATCAGATGGGTTTATTTTTATAAGACACTCACTAGTCAGTAGATCTGGGGGGGGGAGGGTTGTTCCAGCCTTAGAATGAAGGAGAAATCATTGTAGATTTCAAAATTTACCAGGGGGCAAGCCCCCGGAGGCCCCCCCCCCCCATTTCCTGAAAGCTAATACCGCCCCTGTTAAGTGTTTACAAAACTAAAATTGTATGCTTCAATATCCAAGGGTGGATGTACTGCAGCCTTTACAGAGAGAATCCAGGCTTTGACAATAGGATTAAAAGCCACCAACAAAAAAACCTCTGTACTGATGAGGTCACGCTTTGTTTACATACATGTGTGACAGGAACCTGAGGGGACTGCAGTTTCGTAGCCCATTGGATTTGATAACACTTAAAGGGAATGTACAACAGTTGCTTTTGCTGCAATTTTCAGAAATAAATGGATTTAGAGGATTAGTTTGTTATAGCAAATATTGTTAAACTGACGTGTTTTCAGGTTTTGGGCTTGTAGTTGTAGATACTGAAAAACCAAGAAAACCAATCATGTTCTTGTAGTCTGGGTCCCTGACCCCCTTACGATGAAACATAGCAATTTGAGACCTTGGGGAATTGTAAGGTCAAAGAATCAGTCTAGCAGGCATGTACTCCTTCACAGGTATGTGATCAATTGCAAAGAAAATGCGAAATAACTAAATATGAAAAACTAGGAGCAGTTTTAAAAAAACAAATGCAAGTTTTCTCCAACGCTGGTCAGCCGACCAGCGTTGGAAAAATACAATTTTTCTTGAAAACGTCAGCACACCAGGAACTACGATTTTACAGGATGCTTTTGACTGTAAGTCCCTAACAATCCAGTAAGGTATTTTGTGATATTGTGATCATTTCGTGTTTTGATGTTTGCAAATGTTGTATCTTCCCTTTAATAGTTACACTGCCTGTTGATGCCTGATTGTGCTCGAGTATGTATGACATTTAAAAGTGGACTTGAATAGGAGGCCTTGGGGACAATATTTAAGGGTCCAGCAGATCTGAACAATCCATATACCAACAAAAGTTGGTTGATGGCTCGACCTATATTACGCTGTTCTGGCATATGAATGCATTCACTGCAGGCCTACATGCATGAGCAAGCATGTATGCACGTACTTATAGTGGCCGGGACTTCAACACTGACTGTAACTTGAACAGGTCAGAGTTTGGATGGAAAAATAAATTGATAAAGTGTTTGAGTGTGTTCATTTGTGGGGCCCTCATTTTTCAGATACTTTAGGGAAATTTTTTGTAAAAGCTAGAATATTACTTAGACAGCAAAGACAGAAATAAATGAGGAAAAAATACAAGAAATGAAAGCACCAGAACCTCACATCAGGTACAGGTCTGTAGGAATAGGAACCCCCAATCCTGCATTAACAAATTCTACACACAAAAATAAAATTAGGTCATTTTTTCAAAAAAAAATTACTCATTTTGCCCAAACTGGACCCAAAACCTGGATACGATGATGTAGGCCTAAATGATACATTAGTTTTCACAATTTTCAAACTTGACACAAAACAGTCTATTTAGCCAATAAAATAATAAGCAATGAAATATTGTTTACATTTTGTGTGTGCGTCTATTTTAAGTAATTCGTCAGAAAATGTCACTGTAAACCAAGTTGTATCAGTCTTTTACTTCTTATTTGATGGTCATGATGGTAGTGTTTTCAAAATAAACAAAAACTGAACTGTATCGAATTGACAAGGACTGAATTCTTATGTACGTCCTTTTGAAGGAAGTGGTTCTTTTTGGTTTTTTTTTACCTTTGCTAGCGGCAATGGTGGCTAGTTTGTGCATGTAAGGTGTCTCCCATCGTTCCATGACTGGTTTTCCCATGATCTCTAGATGCGTGTCATTAGCGTTAAAATCGGCATCGGCTTTCTTCCATGATGGCGCGCAGTCTTCGTTGGCTGCGAAAATCCTGTCAGATGACATTGTGATGCGTACACTTCTGATGAACGGCCGACGACAAAATTGCAATTACACTGTAGTTGTGGTTTTAGACAAAAAATTAAAAAAATTTTTTTTTGACTTTTGAGAAAGATCCTGCTTAGATTTAAACATCTAACTTTGATAACTATGTGAGAATTCACAAGCTGCTGCTAACTAACTTTACTGACCTGAAATATGCAAATCATAAGATAAACAGTGCATGATTTTTCAATCCTTGCAAGGTTTGTCTCAAAGGCAAAATGACATTTGAACAGTAAACGAACAAAAGAAGCAAGGGGCACAAAAGTAAGGATGTAAGAAACAGGACAAAGGGAAAAGTGGGTGCATTTCCTTAACATAACCATGCGCGTGCATATTCTGCGACGCACTTTCCCAACCCAAGTTTAGTGCAAAGAAAATTACTGCCTCACGCACGCATATGTAAGAAGTTCGTCATGCACGTGTAATGCACTCAGTGCATGCAGCGTATAAAATTTCCCAAAGTAGTTGTTTCAACAATAATAAAAGCAAAATGTAGGTTTTATTTACTATCGAGTGTGAAATTAATTATGATGGTGATTTCTTTGCATTCTCATACATGCTGGAAAGTAAGACAAGTTGTTGTTGATTTTATAGCCGGCTACACTGGGCAGGCTTGTCACTTAGACCATGCTTAGACAAGTGTTGCATGTTGCTGCGTTTGGCAGGGTTTCTAGCCAAAATGCCCTGGAGGGTTAGGGTTTGAAAAGGTCCGACCACACTTAAGTAGACTTCAGATATTTCGTGAATACCGCCCCAGACCCATTCTCTTGAAACTCGATGGTTCTTAGTCAGTCTTGAGTGCTGAATGGTTTCACATAGCAACCGATGAAAACAGCTTCAGCATTCACTCAAGGCAGCATGGTAGCAATCTTACTGTTGTGTCGGCTTGATTGTACAGATGAATGGTTTTCAAAAATAGGGTCTCTTTTGTGTGTGTATATGGGTGAACAGACACATGCACAGGATTTACAGGTAAGGTAACAAAGACGCCAAATCATATAGGTGGATGCACATCAGTGCAGCAGTGAATCTGATCCTCTAAAGGCCCTGTCACACTGTCATGTCCATGCATGGCGTTCATATTACGTTGTTGAAATTCTTTAAAATGTAATAAAATGCCATGAAGACGCAGGATTCATGGTGCCAGTGTTAGACGGCACTATCATACCTAAGTTTTACAAAGTTATATTGTTAAAAATTTAAATACTGCAAACAATTGAAACATTTGAAAAAATTATCTCACCAAGTGAGTTTGAAGATTATTTGATTTTGTTTAGTCCCCTGATTACAATTATTGGATACATTTTTCTCCTTAATCCTTCTGCACTACATCAAAAAATTATTCGGTAACACTTCCCGGATCTTTTATTTGTGAAACTATCGTTCCTCAGTTCTAGTTTAATTTAAGTGTATACATCACGCATGAATGTGATAGGACATAAAGTCACAAAGTCATAAAGCCTACAAAACTGACTAGTGAATACTCCAAATCTGAAGTATTCAATCCTTTTTATTCACACAAAATAAAGTAAATGATAATACTGTCTATGGCAAGCAAAATCTAAAATTGTCAAAAGACTGCTTCTGTATCCTTAGCTCCACAGCCACCTGTTGCATAAAGTCAGAAAATTTGCTTTTATGGCTAGTCTTGTAATAACGTTATTTCTGGTTTTGGATGAAATCTTAATTGGTTTGTCAAAGTACACTTTTGAGAATTTTTGTTCCACCCTATTAATGGCATGGGGTTCGGGGCCCACATAAAAAAGGGCCCAGGAAAATTTCGATTGACAATCTGTGGTGTGATCTGAGGCAATTTTTGACCACTTTAACCAATTTTTTTTTTTAGCAAAAGATCATCATTTAAACATCATTTTCGAGTTTTGAGTCAATTAATCAGCTAGAATTGTTCATATCGTCCGGTGCACCACGAAGTGTTGTATCGTCTATGGTCTTTGTGCATGCGATTCGGTTGGGACGACTCCCAACTACAGTTGGGACCGATGCTAGCCCGGGTTGGACGATTGTCTTCATTGCATTACGTACGTCATTAGTCCAAGTAACTTGGACCCAACTTATTTTAACATTCAAGCATGGTCACCAGTAGACCCGTGAACGTGGCATTGTTTACAAGCCACGTTCACGGGTCTAGGTCACCAGATGTCTAATTTCCGTGAAATTTCATGTTGAAATTTTGATACGCAAACATGAGCAACCGAATCTGGAAATTTCACGAAAAATTGACATCTGAAAAGGCAGCACTTTCTGATTAGCCTATAAAGAGGGTGAGTATGCTTCTAAAGCAAAACTGATTAGCCTAGTAAAAAGAGGGAGAGTATGCTTCTAAAGCAAAAATAAACTACAAACTAAGCCTACATGTGAAAATCAAAATTTGACAAAGTTCGACATGTTTTTGTACATGGTGGAAGTGTGGCCTTTATTTACGGAGCTGAGGTGGGCTGATGCAGATGTCAGAAAGGGTTTATTCGGCATAGCCTAGCTTCACAACACTACACCCTGGATACGTACCATATGCCAGTTGAACAGAATGATGAAGGCGTGTCTAGCTCTACGTACCTATACCGCGTACCGCTACACTATCACTTTAGTTTAGTACAAAAGTTAAAGTACACAATTTGTAAAGTTTAGAGCAACCACTTATCACCTCCGCACGTACCAAGTAGACGTACACAAATAGCGCGCCCTCTATAGTCTTAGTACTAGTACTAGTCCTTCGTGCCCTAGGCCCAGCAAACAGGTTTTGTTTCCACTTCGGCTTCAAGATATATATTTAGCCGGTACTACTACAAGTACAACATTGATTCATGTTCTCCTTCAGGAACACGTTAAACCCTATAACATGAAGATACAGTTTTGAGTATATCCATTTTGTTTTAGAATGTACAGATGTTAAAAAAAGATTTAGAGGCTACAGTAAAGCCAAAGCCTACACGAAGCCGATGTTTCGAACATGATCTGTACATAGAGGGCGCCATCTAGATATGCTGGTTGTCCTTTCTCAGAATTTGGCCCAATACAAATCCTCAATCCTATGTTGGTTCCAGGTTTGAATGGGGGGGGGGGGGGGGGGGGCTGCCAAGAGGGGGTTTAGCAGGCTTAGTGGTTTAGTGGGTTTTTTTCTGCATGATTTTCCTCCTTTTTTGTTGGCTGCTCGGGGGCCCCCCCCCCCCCGAGCAGCCAAAAAAAAAAGGAGGAAAATCATGCAGAAAAAAAAACACTAAACCACTAAGCCTGCTTAACCCCCTCTTGGCAACCTCCCCCCCGGGGACCGGGGGGGGGGGGGGAGGTTAGACTCGACTTCTTCACCCCCGCTAGATCCGCCAATAGATGGGTCATGGACCATTCGATTTTGCCAGTTGGCACTTTCTGTCAACCTGTTTGAGGTCATTCTTAATGATATTTGAATGGCAAATTACAAAGTACATGTACAGGACTGAACAAGACTGAACGGTGGACAGGACGCACACTGTGGACCCTTATGGAATGACCTTTCGCCGCTGCCATTTTCACCGGGAAAATTCAAAGTTTACAAATCAGCCAGCTGCAATTCGACTCCCAAAAATACAAACCACGAGTCGTTTCCCCCCTCCCCCCCAAAAAAGAACAACAATTCACTCTAAAATTGGCATATTAACAGGTCGAATGACGCTTTTTATAGGTGTCATTTTGTCTTTGAAATACCATTCAACACTGGGACTGGACACATTTAGTTCAGAAATCGTGATTTTTGATGAGGTGAGTATTTTGCTTAAAGGTATACTTTCGTTCAGAGATCAACACAATTTAGTGTTACATAATTTATTATTTTTACTACAGTACATTTGTCACAGACAATCACATACGATCTTACATTTATAGAGAAAATGTTGAATTCACCCCATTTCTTTAGTCTGTGATTACCTTTGATTGCCAGAGGTATGCATCCCAGGGGCGGATCCTGGAATTTTAGCGGGGGGGGGGGGATTTCATCTGCCTAAAAAAATTTGTAATGTAGACAAGGTTTTTCTCCGGACACTTGGGGAGGGGGCGCTCGAATCATACCTTCAATTGGGGCGCTGTTCAAAACGACGATTATTAACACTATATCACAGAATAGTGTACATATACCCCCTAACCAAGCTGGCTCTGTCCGTTTTTTGTGAAAAGGCGGACATTATTACCTGTAAAAAAATGTGGGTGTCGGAGCGGGGGGGGGGGGGGGGGGGGGGGGAGGCGTTCGCATTTTGTTCAAGAATTTCTATGGATTTTTTTTTACAGAGCTAGGGGGGAGGATTGACCCCTCCCCTCCCAGATCCGCGCCTGCATCCATGATATCAATGGGAAGCTTATACTGCTGATGGTTTAAGATAAAACCATGAATATTTCATTGATTAAGTCATTAAGTTCATAGTTTACTAATATTATTCCTTTATTTGTCGGTTACCTATTTGGAGAAAACCTGTATATACATATTTCCATCGGTGAATTAAGCCGTCGAATTTAGAGCAAAACTGGCAACATATTAGACTAGTGCCCCATAAAATGCATTTGACGAGGAGACAATTCGTCGTGTGCCCGGCAGAAGGGCATATGTGCATATGCCCTTATGCAATCCGCGTAATGACCAAAATGTTCCCAGCAAAAGGGCATATGCAGAAAACTACCTCCATTTTAATGAGATTTAAATATTTTCGTCAGAAATTAACGTGTATAGTTGTTCCAAAACTTATGATTCATACGTGTGACAAATTTCACATTCGTACGATTTATATTACGTGGGGGAGAGCATTGGATACAAAATGCGCGCGGGGGAACAATGGAACCTTTCAATGCAATTTTCTTGAAAATGATTTTTGCGTCAGAACGCTCATATGCCCTTCTGCCGGGCACACGACGAATTTCACTGTGTGATATCAGCTCCTATAGGCCTACGTCATTTTTTTTTTTACAAAATGATCAAATTCTATGATTATTTTGTCTTTAGAATAATGAATAATACTAACGACATCCTTATTTGTGGGGCATACTGGGTGAGGACAAATAACAAACAACAAAACCAATTTTGTTTTTAGTAGTATTTAGTTATGGAAAATAACTCAAATTTTGTGGGTATATTTTTAACCCCAAAACGGGACTGAATAGTTACTTTACCACGAAATATTTTGAGCTAAAAATTCAGTCTGAAGCAGGACATGCCAGTGATCCTAAATAGATCGATGAAAAATTATAATTACGTGATTAAATTAAATTTCGCAAGTTATTGAAAAACAATACTGATTTTCATGTCCCCCCCCCAAAAAAAAATGCCGTCAAAATAGGTGTTTCCCCCAAAAAAATATTTTGGAAACATATACATTCTGAATATAGGATCTTTCCTTTCTAGGATCACGAAGCTGTTTTTAGATCGCTTCTAGGTCTTAGAAAACACCCGACCCTACTTTCCTTTACACAAGGACCCCTTCTACCATGCAGTTTGAGACTTAGGCCTATGTATACACGCATGGCGAACCTAGGCCTAGCTCACACGCGTCTGAACCAACTTCAATTTGCAAGTGTGTTTGGAATGACGTTTCAATTTGTTTTCAGAGGACTAAACAATTTGTTTTCAGAAAGACCCAATTTTTTTGGCCCTCCAAGAAAATTGTGTTCTGGATCCGCCCCTGCAGAAGACCAGCATTTTGTGCCCCGAAAATTCAGGGGGTTGGGGGCAATAATTTCACAAAGACCGTAACTATTCAAGGTTTAGTTGTGTGAATGTTTGTCATTCTACTTTTAACGATCTTTCCAACTTTTGTCAAGTTCCCTTTAAACCTAAAAGGGCCGGGGGTGGAATCCGCACCCTCAACATTTTTCGCTTTAGCCTTGAATTTTAATTTTTTTTCGCGACCCGAGCTGTTATGACTTTTTAGCCTCGAGCCTCGCGCATCTTTTGATACCAAAAACATAAAAATCGCCGTGAAAACTGAATTTTTCCATATACGTCGTGTACACATAGCAGGATTGCCATTCGTACATTATGAATAATTAACTAGCCATAATTCCAAAACCCTTTGACCTATAGTCACGACATTTCTTGGGTATGTTTATGGGTATAGTTGCTCTATGCATGTACCGAGTTTCAAAATTTTTTGTCACTCGATGACCGAGATCTGGGGGGGGGGGGGTGCGCGGAATCCGCCCCCCCCCCCCGGCTGAGAGATGGTCAAAATCTAGATGGTCAAAATAACCCGGCCCTTTTATAGGGTTAAATCTTGTTCCAAAAACTAGCCATTATATCAGTTTAAAGAGATAATTTCCCGGTCGATATTATACATCACAGACCAATTCGTCTCCATATAATTAGGTCAATAGGCATCTCGATAATCACATCATCATAATGGCTTCTGAAGCTAATAGCATTTCATCGTCGCTCCCAGTGTCTACTTTAAACCTCGAGACAAAAGTCATAGAGCAGCTACGGGGAGCGTACTGCATCGGGGACGAGATGAATGCCAGTCAGACGTTTTATATTTGCTGTGGAGGAGCAGCGGGGGAATTACCAATCTCAATTTTCACCATTTCAGTTTGATACGGTGCAGTTATAGATAGTTTATAATGCTATTATTGTGTCTCTTTTGCCGAAGATAATTAATATTGCGGCCTACACTGTGAATACAAAAATAGGATAATTTAATATCCAAGAAACCTTACAATGTAAAGCTGAAGACAAGGCGTGATGTCGTTCCTGTCCATCGCTTTTCATTGCTTTAAATAGTCTATAGTGAACCCTAATTAAATCAATATTGGTTCGCCGGCGCAACAAAGAAATAGTTCCGTAACAATGTCGTTGATTGTCCAATGTTGTTTGAAAGTGTACACGAAAATGTCTGAAGATTTCCAAAGTGAAACGTTCTCTGTTTGAGGCACTTGTTTTCTTTTTTATACAGCTTATCAGTTCAAGGATTAATTGAACCCTACTCGGTTCATGTGCTCCTGCAAGTCCAAGTGGTCCTATTATGATTCAAAGGCATACCCTCGCGTACAATGCTGCATCTGATAACAACATAGACCGTAGTCATGAATGACAGTTGCGGATATAAATGTACACTGAGGGCCTCTGGGTACATGTCTTGTTGGGCTCTGCCCTTTACTTCGGAAAAAAAGACGGCCGTTTCCTGATAATATCGTCTTCCTATATCCGTGTCTCCCCACGGGTTTTAGCGCGTGCGCTGCAAGGGCGGGGATGTAGCCGGATCGCGCTGCCGGGGAAAGATAAACGCCGCGTGACGGTCCAAGATCACGACTGTTGACACAGCCGTAATTCTCCTTGGAAAACGGGGAACATTACTGACACTTTCAAAATATTACCCAATCTATTCATTGTCGCCACTATATTTTTTTTCTCTACAATATATGCCGAGTGCGTTTGTGCGAGATCATTTTTCTCACGATTCCCAGAACTAAATGCACTGAAGCAAGTCACTGAGCCATCGTTTGAAGACGATCATATGTTGAGAGACAATAATTTTAGAAAGTTACAAGTAAAACACACATTCTTTAGTTTTTCATTTTGTTTGTTTATGAGGCACAATTTTTAATGAAACTGTTGATGCGAAGCCACTTATGATCAGGACTGAACATTTTTAACTAAAAAGACACTTACCGTTCTGTGTAGAACCATATCAAATTTTAAAACGTTTGAAAACGTTCATCTAAATTTTGTTTTTAATACAAACCTAGAAAACAATTGGATCTAGACATTACTATCAAATTATTCCCATCATGTGACGAAGAAGATTACTTTGAACAACTCAGCAAAGGTATACAATGAGAAACAAACCTTATAAGGGCTGGTAATGGTTCAGAAAATATATATATCACAACGAACATGACATTGTCACACCCATGGACCAAAACATCGGATGAATTACACGTGCACGAAATGGTACAGCGCATAATGATATTTATATTAAATTGCTCCATGTCGAGTACGTTCTTTGTGTGCAAGTATTCAGAATTCTGTGGGCAAGTCGGAGCTAGAAATGCTGAGTAACGTAATACTGGTGACGTCAGTAATTATTTCCCCATATTATCTAGAAACTCTGATATTTTCCAGGCTTTCATAATGCAAGGGCACGTGTTGTCCGTACCGCTCGATCGTGCCTCCACCTCCGACTACTATCAGGGCGTGCAGAAGAAACCAAAAGTGAAAATTGTAAGATCTCTCGAATTCAAGTCAGACTCCTCCGAATTAGATTGGGTTCCCGATGCTTTTAAGATGCCAGTGTGTCGCAACTACGTTGGCATTTTGTCGACACCGCTGGGTGTACGGAATAAGGATTTGGTCGGGTAGACTGGTGCCCGCACCAATTTCAAATGGTAATTGTCTCCTCTTATCGCTTGGCACGATTCGCACACAATCATCTCCGTGTTTTATATCATTACACCAGTTCAATATTTCACAGTATTGGACGCAGTTGTGATGAGCGTGTGTCGTAATCACGCAACGCTTAATTGTAGATTTGTGTCGATACGGAATCAACGTCGAAAATTCGCTATAGGCCTAAACACAAGTCTCGCTGAAGCCTTATCGCTTCATGATACATTAAGAAGAAAACAAAACAGAATGACGTAAAAACGCAGGGAAAAACATCTACAAAATGACTAATAAACTGTTTTTCAAGCAGCCTTTCAGAAGGAAAACCACGGGAGTCATAAAGAGTCTTAAATGGAAAACGAATTGCACCTTCGTGTCCCATTTATGTTCAGCCTTTCATAATGTCATCGTGGACCGTGTTGATTTCTTATCGTTTCACTTCCCCCGCCCAAAAGTACTGTGGCCTCGGCAGTTTGTGCGAAGGAAACAAACTAATTGCCTGTGCAGAATATAACGCATTTACAGGAATGTCTTTCTGAAGAGATCCAGAACAACGATATGAAGGGATTGTCGAAAATGGATGGCAAATCCCACGAAACGTTGGCTGCCTAGTTGCACTTTTTAGCCGTGAAGTGGAAGGATGAGTCCACAAAATTCACTGATGTCTTGTTTGACTTTAAACCGCTTCTTGAGGGCTTCTTGGACACACTTCGGTTATTCATTCATTCATCACATTACATTGCTCTCCAAGATTTAAATAAAAGGGAATAGCCAACCTTCACTGCGAGTAATTGTTGAATAATTTCGGAGAGTTGTGAATATTTTCTCTTTTTTGGCTGGTCCTAGAGTAGTCTGAGGATCAGATATTCACGTGTGCAGAGCCACGGTACAAACGCCTGATATATCGTAGCATGCTAATTTTATGCCAATCGGAGTCGACTTTAGAATCTGTGACGCCATTTCGATCAGAAATGTGGACTAAGCTGTTGATTGGTCAATTTGGCTGACGAGTTTTTGTAATACAACAACGGGTTACCGAAGATCCGACACAAGCGCCCTCTGAATGGTCAGAATCTCGAGGTCAATACGCATTCTTGTTTTGCGTAATCGCCGAATCTGCTCGCATATTATAGACTCTCAAGGGGATATTCTATAGACTAGTTCCAGAGAGGGCCAAGCCTATATTCCTCCTTATGCCTCATTAATTGACTGACTGGCCGGCTAGCTGGCTGGCTGACCGTCACTTGTTAGTCGGGCAGTGCTATCGTATTGGGGCGGCAATGAATGGGCTAGATCCGACCTGTGTATTACACAGATGCATTGAAAAGCCATTAAGAGCTCCCAGCCTACATAAAGCAGGATTGACTGGCTGTGACTGTTTATGTAGCTTGGTGCAGCTATACTTTGACTGTAGGTGATTATTATGCCAGCTGATGCTTACCTGCATTTGTCTGTTGACTGAATTTGACTAGTCACAGTGCTTGCTACAAAAATGATCTGACTGTTGGTGACTAGCCTATGTAAGGGAAGGCATGGCAGGGGAAGGTAATTGATGTGTTGACTGTCTGTGACTGTTCAGACAGCAGGAGGGTTAATGGTGTCCAAAACAACTTTACTGTAGTGTAGGTCTAAAAGTAACAATCTCCAGTGACACCTTCTGAACCCCTGAATTATGGCGCGTCAATCGCCTATGAACACCCCATCGAACGAACGTAGGTCCATACGCACGTACGTGAGGCGGAAAAGTGTCACCGAGGACAGAGGTAAATGAGCATAATAGATTTAGGTCAGGATAGAAGGCTGGGAAGCGGGGATGGAGGTAGGTACAAAAACAAAATATAACTGATTAGTGGAATGAACACTAAAACTTGTAAATGGTTTTTAAAATCGCACAGGCTTAAAAGTCCTGCAGAATTTGGCCATTAAAACGTGCCGGTCATTTAGCTGCGACAAAGCGCCTATAACTCGATTCATCAAGATCAGCCATTGAAAGTGCCGGTGCGGCGCAAGATGAACTTACAAATTGTCAATTTCAAGAAGTACGAGGATTCCAAAGATTTCAGGACTGATCCGTGAAGAGGTAAGCAACTCGCTTTTCCTCCAAATAAAGCACTTAATTCTCCATGGATAAGACATTATTATCAATCACAAGTAACATCGGTCTTAAAAAAAGAGGAAAAAATAACCGGATGAATCGGCCGGGAAAAGCTTTATGGCTTACCGGACGGTTTTCACTTTTTCTCAAGTCAACCCTGGCGATCCTCACAAACACCTCCGTTCTTCCGGTGTTTAATGGTCTTCTCTGCGGACCAATCGGAGCCCTAGACGGCACGATGACGTCATACCCCACTCACGGCCACCAGAACCCATCAGATAAAAGCCGCTGGGCGAGCGCCAGCTGCGCAGAATCTTCGAAGTCGTGTATGTGTCTTCGAGAAACCCGGCCCGCTAAAAGCCTCACCCATCTCCGTGCATCAGTCTCGTTACCTGCCCAGCTGCTACGCCAAGATTGTTTTTTTTGTTTTCTGTCTTTTCCTTTCTGGACTGTTGTTTTCTTCGTCGTCTCATCATGACGAGATCCGGTGTCCATTGCTTCTCCCTCGCTGTTCTCTGTCTCCTGAAGATAGCCCTTGCCGCACCGGCGCCGGTAAGTACTACTTTGCCCTTTAAATTAAAAAAGCTTAACCCATTTATTCTCGTACTGTTTTTTTGGGGGGGGGAAATGAAAAATAATGAGACTCGTTACTCTTATAAGCGGCATAAGCTGGCATCTTTTGAGGGGCATAGATAAGAAGTTATCTCGTCCGACATCATCTGATAATCTAATGGTGTTACATTATTTTGAAATGATTATCTTTTTTTCCGGAGACAATTCGTTTATACACTAAGTATTCTTAAGCCAATTTTATAAGCTTTCCAGTCTAGACCCATCTCTAGCAGTATTCATATTAATCATTTTACATCATATCAATACGTAAATCAACAATTTATTTTAAAGCATACTACGTCGCCAAAAAAAACCCCGATTTTGTTCGCGACTCTAAACACTGCGGTGTGACGTAAACAAATATGTATGAAAATCACAAAATACCGGTGACATATATTTTGCCAGAAATCTCATAGCGAATCCCCCCCCCCCCCAAAAAAATCGTGCTTTATTATAAACTGCAAATTTGAAGTTCATTTCCACAAATATTTGTCTGGTTTGTCGACGGAACTAAACAGAAAACCTTTTTAAAAACTGTGAGAGATTCTGCAACCAAGGACGAAAGTTGCGAATTTGCATTTTCATGTAAAATTTTACGGGTTTTATAGGGGCTATTTTTTTAAACGCTGTATTTTACGAAGCTGTCTTTTAATTTGGCTTCTGTCCTGCAATGATTATAATAAAACAATCATGCCATTTTTCAAAAGTCGCTTTTTCTTAAATCATTTTAAAAATTGAAATTACATATGAATAATGGCAAGTTGCATTTTGAAAGTAAACACCGTGGCATTCGATTTTGGAGTTAGGTTGGTCATTACGACTCATTGAAAAAGGAGCCACGTATTATTATTTATGACTTTCAGTTTCTTATTTGTATTCATTTCTGAATACATTAAGATGCAGAAGCTCATATTGTGGTGTAAGCACCTTTTCCCGTAAAGACAGTTGATACAAAAGGGTATTTTATTTTATTACCTTTCGAATGTCAAACGACTTCTTATGATTTCGATTATTCGCGGGGTAATAAAACAGAAGTTGCGACACGAAGAGTCAAAGTCCTAAGACGCGTTTTGATGAGTTGACTTTTCACAGGATTTTGGTGCATTAAAAGCTAAGAGTATTGACATGTAACATAATCGGCAATGTAAACGTGACGCTTTTAATCGATTTCTAACACTTGTGTGAGGTATATAATTCTATAATAATTATTACTTCGCCTTTCACGCAAATATTTAAATTGAAAATGGGAGTCTTGCTTCACTTGTATCAGAATGGCCTCGAAGGATCTGACAGAAATATTGATTTCTCTGTTTCATTCTTGTTTACTTTTAGTCGCGCTCACGATCCTTCAAATTTTGTAAACTGAGTGGACTCAGTTCCTAGTCCTCTTAGATCTAAAAGTAAAGAGGTGAAGTTAATTAAATTGAATTTAGCAACGAGTTGAATTTAGCTACGATGACCGACCAGTCGCGGTTCTGGGGGGGGGGGGGGGCGAACGGTCCCCCCTAAAAGAAATAGTCGTGAGTGATATAGTGTGCATGATTGTAGGATTTTATCAGCGCTCCCAATTGAAAATATGGTACGAGCCCCCCCCCCCCCCCCACCACCCACCTATTGATTTTCGAAGGCCTAAGTGTCCAGAGGTAAAAACAAAACGGTCTACAATTCAGCACACCTCCCTGCAACAATTTCTGGATCCACCCCTGCTATCCCCCCCCCCCCTAAAATATAGGCTCTAGAACAGCGCCTGTGAGCAACCCAGCACCGTCACCGGCTATCTCCGGGCCTTTGGAGGGGGAACACGGTACCAGCTAGGGGGGCACATCACAAGGAAATAAAACACACACTTGTAGATAATGTTTACGCTTATGGTTTTGGCCGGGGGGTGGGCAGTTGCTCGCCGGGGGGGGGGGGGGGGGGCAGTTGCTCGTCGGGGGAGGAGCGAGGGGGCAGCCCTCCTTTAGCGACGGGCCTGGGCCAACCTCGAATTGAAAAAAATGGGAGCTATGAGACCTATATCAGTTAATTGCCATCAAACTATAGGCCCCTATATACATTGTTGTCAAAAAGTGCACCAAGTTTTATTTTTTGGCGTGTCTCATAAATTATTCATACATCGAGTTCCCACTGCCGAATACCGAAGTTTGCATACCGTAAATAAAACGTCCGCGCAGAAAACTAAATTGGTTAAGTTACTCATCTTGAACCATATCGCTTTGTATTGAAAATAATTGCATTAAGCAGAACTTAACTAAAAGTCAGTTAGACGTGTTTGAGTTTCAGCACATATGAATTATCCATTTCTTTGTTTAATATGAGAACACGGAGGCACTTTTTTTTTAATTGAGAAAGTCTTGAGTTAAAGACGCTTCGATGTCTTTGAATAGAGCTATCAAGAAGCTGATATTCCCTGTCCAGCGTGCTTTGAAATCATCCGAGTGGTCGTCGCGCACTATGTGGGTTACCCCCGGTTTTTCCTCTTTATTTTTCATCCGCGGCCCCCGCAAAGAAAATTACCTTTCTGACGGCGCGGGAGTGCAAACACACTTAGGAAACGGCAAATGACAGAGTACACAATCTAGAAAGAATGCCTCTTCGACCCAAATCAACAAACTGTCAAAGCGTCGAGTGGGGCTCTGAGCGCATGCGGTGTCATAAAATGAACAATCTGTCTTAGAAATGGCATTATATACCGCTGTGACGTGATAGGCCCTGTAGGGAAACTTCAACTTCAGTGACCCGTTGGGATGGCAAAAATATATGCACAACCGTCCCATTTTGGTTCAATCAATGATCAGTAATATAAAAAAACAACCGCCTTTAAGTTCAAATTATCAAATCGATTAGAAATACTATTTTAAATGTCTCACCCTTTTCGTGCGTGTTTGACGATATTTCTGGCATGACCTGCATCTGACTTGTATTTTCTGTAAAAAGGAAAAATCTGAAAAATCGTTAAAGGAAAAACACACACCAAAAAAACCCACAAAAAGACCAACGACATGCCAACATCGATTCGACATAGGCTATATTGCTTCAGTGTGAACTGGAAATAAATCAGCAAACAATAGCAAAAAAAATCTGGGTCCTGTAATATAATAAGACAAGCCGAGCATCAAAAATCTCCTGCAATATGCACTCGTCTTCGGAATGAGGGGAGCAGTCAGGCCTGGCGACTAAATGAGGAAATATCTCACGCGTAGGGGCTATACGATTGCATACGATAAATATTGACAGGGGATTTCTTTGATCTTGAAAGTGGAGCTTGCTTGTTTCCGAGGAGAGCCGTCGAATTACCCACCTTCCTTAATCAGCAGTCAGCACGGACTTGGGGTTGGGTCGGGGGTTGGGTGAGGGATCAAAAAATGACATTCGGTTAGCATTGCCTTTCGACCTGATTTCCCTCACTATTCTGCCACATCATTCACACCAAAACCACCCTGAGCACGTGCAGTATTCTGCGCCCTGTCATACAGAAAAGTTAAAGAGATTTGTTAGATCTTTTTGGGGCGATTGTTTAAACGTTTTTCGTGTTTGCTGTCGGCAACCTGATGTCGACAATGCCCGTCAAATCCACTATTTACGCCGATTCGAGGAGTCTCTTCAATCGCCTATACCATTCCCAAATTCAGACTAAACAGTGTATCAAATTCAATTTTTTTTTATGTTGGCCCTATATATATATTTGTTGGCATGAATGATGTCTTTATTGTCTCAATTATAATCTTAAGGAAAAGACAATAACATAACTTGTCTGTACATAACTTAAACGTTGGACAGTAGAAGTTTTTTGAGGAAAGTGCAATATGGCACGTCTCTAATTTACGAAAAAAACTCTCCGGACGTAATCAAGCCAAGCCTTAATAATTGCTAGACAATGTCTAGGCTCTACTCACGGCTTGGGAGTTTTTATCACGGGGCCCGCTAACCCCTATGGAAATGAACCGTGGGTCTGAATGTTCATTCTTTTTTTGAATTAGAGATGTTGTTTATAGAGTCATAAATTATACAGGCAGTTTGCATACAAACAAGTTAAATTTTAATGTTAACCATGTGTGCATTGCTGATCTTTCTTTAAAGCGAGGTTTCATTTTGAAACGTTTGTGGTTTACTGAAGTTTACGTTTTGAAGCTTTGAGGTTTGTAGATGACATCATGTGACATTCAGTCTATGATATCATGTGACTATCAGTCTATGACATCATATGACTATCAGTCTATGACATCATGTGACATTCAGTCTATAACATCATGCGACTGTCAGTCTATGACATCATGTGACTATCAGTCTATGACATCATGTGACTATCAGTCTATGACATCATGTGACTATCAGTCTATGACATCATGTGACTATCAGTATAATGACATCATGTGAATATCAGTCTATGACACCATGTGACTATCAGTATATGATATCGTGTGACTATCAGTTTATGACATCATGTGACTGCAGTCTATGCCATATGTGACTTTCGGTCTATGACATCATGTAAATATCAGTCTATGACATCATGTGACTGTCAGTCTATGACATCATGTGACTTTCAGTCTATGACATCATGTAAATACCAGTCTATGGCATCATGTGACTATCAGTCTATGGCATCATGTGACTATCAGTCTATGACATCATGTGATTATCAGTCTCATTAATGAAGATGTTTCGGTTGTGAAAGAACCAGTTGTGAGGGTGTTCGACGTTTCGATCATTGTATTCTGTTCGTCTTCCAGAGAGATGAAAGTTACACAATACACTGTCTGAAACGTCTGGAATAGACTTTCACCGATGGGTCTTTCACGATCAACATTTTAAGAAGATGACTATCTTCTTAAAATGCTTTAATTCGCAAACCATAATGTCCATACTCACGGCTGCACATGAAGGGATGTGTTTATATCTGGATAGTCTGAACTCCACGTAAATTTTATCTCACTAAT